CAGCATTAAGAGATGTGCATTCCAGTGTAGTTACTATATGTTTGTGTCATGGGAAAAGTCCACAACACGATCTGATTCCCTGAGATGTTTCACAGGCTAGAAGTGAGTTGTGTCTCTTCCTTTGCAATGTACTAGTGCGTTGCAGTTTTTGGTTGCAGCAGTCCACAATGCTTCTTCTGAATCTGTTAATGGGGTGGACTAGGCAACTGTGGCAGGTAGTTTATCACATAGATACCAGTGTGACATAGCTACTTGAAATTTAAAAAGAAAACAAGTCCTTATATTTTGGTATACAAATGTGAACTTTTCAGTGTTGTTTTTTTGAATTTTTCCTTCTTTACTACAGCTCCAAAACAGTACATATTTCATTTCCCAAAGGAGTGTGCTTGTTTAAAATGGGAACTGTGATGTGTGGATAATTACTACCAGATGGGCGGTGTTGGCTTATTTGGACACACATACTCGAAATCCGTTTTCTGCCATGGTTTGCTCTTTTATATTGAGTAACTGTTGGAGGACTCGCAGTTCTTAACATGGAGGAAAAACTTGCAAAAGGTAATTAGGCCAGGCACAGCCTATCTGTGGCTCTCAAAGCTTTGATTTGCAGGCAGAGCATGGGGCTTCCACACCAGTGCCACTCCACCTGCTCAACAGTAGGAGTGTGCAGGGAAACCTGAAATCAATAGTCTGACTAGTTGCACATCCTCTCAAGGAAATAAAGTTGTGTGTTTGCTGTAAAACTGTGTGCTCCTCTGCCAAGGAACTGTGGGATGGTTGAGGAATGCCCACTTATTCCAGCTTGAGAACTGCTCAGAACGTGACATCTTGGAGGTATGTTTTCTCTGTCTTCTGTGAAGATTTTTTTTATAGGTACATAGCCAGGAAGGTTGGGTGCTTGGTACAAATATCTCTTTTGTTTGTTCTGGAATATAAGCTTTTGTAGAGCTTCCTGCTTTTAAAGCAGAATGATGGAAACTGTTCAGACAATGATGTGTCCTCACCCTTGTTTGTATCTAAAATGACCCTAGGCTGGTCTGTTTGAATCTCAAGCTGTAGCAAAAACAGCTGGTTGCCAGGAAAAATGCTCTTAAGCCTGTAATTGGGCTGCATAACTGCCAACAAAACAAATATGAATGACAAATTTCGTAATTTATTCCGTTCCTGAATTGGTAATTTTTGTCATCTTGAAACTGTCATGTTCTTTAACATCCTACCTTGGCCTCATCTTTTTCAAAAATGTTGTAACAGAGTATATCACACCCTCACAAGTGTCCTTGCTATGGGGCACACATTGCGCTGAACTTGCTTGTCAAATTTTCAAAACATGTGAAGGATTTTTAATTGGCTAATCTTTCATGTAACAAGAAATGTCCAAGTCTTCTTTATATACTGAGAGCTCTTTCGTAGCGTCCAATAGCAGAGATGCATTGCCTAATATTGCCTGTGGCAAACCTTTTATCCCCAAGCTCTGTTCTTGTTCCTTCCTATAGCTTCCGTGTTATAGCAGGGAGAACATTTTGGTTAGAGCTCAACCTACAACAGATTCTTTTTAAATAAGAAAAATAGGTACCCAGTAATCTACCTGATCTTGGCATAAATTCATAAATTGTACTGGAAACAATTGTAAATGAGTATGAAGACCCTTCTTGAGTCTTGGACAACTAATTGAGAATGATCCCTATTGCCAGATTTATCTGGATAACAATGCCAAAATTGCTTGATCCCATATGCTTCCACTTGGTTCTGCTCTTTCGATTTCCATTATTGATTTTTCAACTAGAATCTTACTGAACATAAACTAGAAGGTTACTGGATATTCCAGCTCAAAGCACATGCACACTTTTCTTTAAATTAAATTCTGAAGACAGGCCCTTACTGGACTATTCAAGTGCTTTTGGTATTTTACTGCACTTAGATTTCAGGTTTGGGAAACTTTCATGTTTTCTTAGGGAAACCCCCTCATACCTGGAGCTTCAGTTCTCTCAGAACTTAGATAAAAGTGTGCTAGATTAACTGCTAGTCAGTCTGACTACTTCATGGGGCTGCTTAACCCCTTAGCAACTTATTCTTCTTATTTTAGGCTGGCAGTTTCTATGGCTAGCTTTTTCTGAATGTATTCTTTAACAGGAGGTGATGATACAAGTCTGTCTGGATTTCTTGGATTTACAAAACTATGAATGGGCAAGCTAAAGATTGAGGCAACAGGTTAAACACCACCAGTAAAAAGCAACACAGGCTTAAGAGCAGCAAGAAACATTAAAAAAAAAAATCTACTAAAGCAATGTTAGTGTATTTTACATTGAGATTTTAGTCTCAGCCTCTTGTTAGTCCTTAGTATATTCTGATCTCACATGCCCTTTTCTCATCAAATTTCTTTAACTAAAAGCAAATGCAAAATGTGTGCACCATGAAGAAGACCCTTTGGAAACAGTAAACAAGAATGTTAGCGTTTCCAAAGGGTCTGCAGCATGGTCCAGTCATTAGGGAAGATGTGATATGTTTTACTAACAGTGTGGGCAGGAAGAAAGCAGGTTCAAGGACAATGACTGACAATTAGAAGAAAGAATGAATATGCAAACCAAGGGGGCACTATAGGAAAAAAAAAACACCTATGTGTGTTTGTACATACTTCAGTAATGGACTGAGTTACTGCAAAAGCTTTGGAAAATCCCATCAGCATGAACATAAGTGCTTTGGTAGTTAACTTGATTATAGATCCACTACATGGTTGTGTCCCAGCATGTAAGGATGCAGCATTCACGTTTTCATCATCAGATGCTGTGTCCGTAGTGGGAACACAGGTGTTAAGCTGGAGTGAGATGACTCATCTCTCCTTTTTGAGCAGAGAAGCAGGGAAGACCAGGGTGAGTCCTTTCAATAACTGAGCTCTCTGGTATCCTGAGATTTACCATCGAGAGCTAGGCGTGGTTTTCAATCGTAGCCCACTGCCACTGTAAAAAGCCTCTAAGTGCTTAATATGAAATTACAACACAGCTACTTAATAGCCCTACTAATGTGTCAGTGTCCAAATAACTGTTAAGACTGCTTAAACTGAGTAACTGAAAGGGAATCTTTCCCATACAAGATCAAAAATATAAATATTTCTAGTAAAGGGCTGGCTGGTTGTTCTAACCAGCCTTTACAGCTGCAGAATAATAATATAATTAATAATAAAACTTGCAGCAAATAAGAGTGTGTAGCATAAAAATTACTCATTTCGATTAGTCTTGTGTCAGACCTTAATACATGACTGGTTTCTGGGTGCTCATTCTTTGTAGTTTTTCTTAAGAATGGTGTATTCTGCTGCTTTATTTGTTCTGCAGGCATGCAGTGAGTATTCCCTGCCTCCAGAACAGGGTGCTCTTAAGACAGTAGCCTGTGGTCAGGCTGCAGCAAGAGTGACCAAGAGGAAACAGGGAATCTGTTGTAAAGATGAGGTTTTCCCTGGGGAAAACCGGGTGCAGGTGTGGCCCTACCAGTCTGTGAGCTCCTCTGGTGTGGTCAATTGTGGACAAGTCTGTGTGATTTTTGGGCCAGTGTTTTGGGGGGGGGTGCCCCCCTCTATTTTTGCCTTTTTTTTTCTTTTTTTTTCTTTCCCCTAATGTATCCTAGCTAAAAGAAAAGCATATAACATGAGTTTCAAGCTCTTTGCACGCACAGGGCCTATGAACATAAGCGTGGGCATTGACAGCAGCAAAGTCGCTGTATCTGTGGGTCTCCCGTTCAGCTCAGGCCTCCTGTGGCTTATTTGTGCATCAGCAAATTAGGTGTGAAAGCAGCGTTATAGCAAGCTCGAAACGCCTGCGGAGAAGGACAGTGTTCTTTCTCTCTATGATCCCGGCTGCCGCTGGAGCAAGCGGAGATCGATCGGTCTAATAATGTCTGGGGCTCGCCTTTCATAAAAGAAGGGCTGTGGCTTTAAGTAATCGCTGGCTGCCTGTGCCAATTGCAGAAGCTGCAGTATCTGCCGCTGTCGGGAGCGCCCGGCGCGGCAGCAGGATAACCTGCGGAGGCAAGGTCCAGCCTGCGGCTCGGCCAGACCTGCCCGGCTCGGCGGTGCCGCGCTGCTACGTCGCGATGAGGGGCCGGCCCTGGGGGGCCGAGCGAGGGCTGCCGGCGCGGGAAGATGGGCTGCTCTAGCAGCAGGCTGTGCCTCTATTCTCAGTGTGCTGCAGCAAGGGTAATGAGTGTTTGTTTCACAGCTTTGCCGACGGCAGGGAGCAAGGTGAAGCACCCTGCCAGGAGGACGCGTGGACCTTGCCACCCCCACGCCGTGGCCATGGGTGTGGGGTGGCGGTGCCGAGCCTTGGAGCAGCCCTGCCGTGGCTGTGCCTGTGCCGCTCCCTGGGCTGCAGGTCTAGGGGCACAGGGGCCTGACCGGCCACCTTCCCTGGCCAAGGCACAGCTCCCGGGAAAAGCAGGGAGATGGGTGCTTCTGCTTTGTTATGATCTGTTCGCAGATTCCTTATGATTCTCTCTGTGTAAAAAACACTGTCTATCTTAACATTAAGAACTGTGAGCAGAAGGGTGGGTTGTATTCAACTTTGAACAGGGCTGTGCCTTTCCTTCATGGAAGACTGAGTGTTTAGCAAAGTTTTTGGTTTTGTGTTTGAGTAAGCTTAAGATAAATATTTAATGCATGCCTCTTTCACTTATACACTATACTTCTGTGCCCTTGACAGCTATCAGTTGATTTGTTCTGGAGGCTTGTGTTGCTACACCCACCATAAAATATGTAATTAATTGCTGCAAAGTAGGATTTTAATTGCAATGTTATCCTGGAAAGAGCTTTTCTTTGTTTTAAAGTATAACTTCCTTAACAACAGAAGAACATCTGTATATATTGTAACAGATGAACTGTTATCGTGATTCATATCTTGGCTTCTTGTTCCTACCTCTTGTTTTCCTGCAGAACACATGTAAGTTAATTGTTGGAAGGTGCCCCACTCAGATCACTGGTAACCAAATGTTTGCATTTGTTTGTTTATTTTTCTCTGCAGAGGGAGGAAGCACTGAAACAGCGTAAAGAGTTATCTCAAGAACTAGTTAACCTTCGAGGAGAACTAGGTAAGAATTTATTTTTGTATTCTTCATTAGAACTAAAATGAAGCAAAACAGAAAGACAGATGCCCTGGTATTGTAATGACAGTCATTTAATTCCCTGACTGAATTCCGCTCAGAAGCTTTAAGCGCTGTGGAGCCCTGACAGCGTGACCCCAGGTTCACTGAATTCCTGGCACTGCGCCTAGCGGGGCCTCCTTGCAAAACATGCATCTGATGACCCAAGCACTCGCTTTTTAAAAATGGGAGGATGGCTGACAGCATGTATACTTCTGTTTGATCCCTTACTTGTTTGTATGCTGTCTTGTAGAGATTTGCTGGCAAAACATTCATAAACCTGTAAAATATACTGCGCAAAATCTGCATTTTTGCTGTAGTGACTTGTAGGTGGATGAGTGTAAAATTAAGGAAATGCTTTCAGGCTGATGAGATTAAGTCTTTGAACTCATCCTGGTGGGCAGCTATAATATGAAATTAAGCTATAATGTGCAGGGGCTGGTTTAGCCAACTTTGAAGCTTGATTTAACTGCATTTAACTCAAAACCAGATCATTTTGTGAAGTGTAAAAAGTAATTGGATTGAAAACGATAGCACTTTAAAGTAAAAATAGTGTTCTGTGAAAACACACTTCTCTTATCATGAAACCTCTTTAAAAAATAATAAAAAAAAAGCTTTGAAACCAGAAGTAATACATGTGGAGCAGTTTCAGATATGACATTGATGGAGAAGTTGGAAACACTTCTTTTCACATGCTTTGAAAGTCGAGCATTGTCTCAGCCAAACAAGTGTGAGTGTAGGTCTCATTAGATGCGGGTGGTGCGTTTAATGTTCAGATTTAATTTTTAGCACTGATTAATAAGGCGGAGGTTCCCTGGCAAGTGCTCAGAGTTGGAAGTGCAGTGGGGAGGGAGGGGTCGCCCTGTCTCCCCAGCTGAAGCAACAGAGCACAGCTTCTCCACTTGCCACTGTTCCTGGCATCCAGTTTAGAGGGTTATTTAAAATGCAGTTTTCTAAGAGCTTTATTTGTTGTTGCATAAAGCTAAAAGTGTGTGAACTGAGGCAGTATCACAAGCAGAGAAATATTTGTAGTCTAAGTAGGTAGGTGAGAGTACCAAAGACACTGCAGAAATATGTAGTGTTTCCTTTCTCAGAACCTTAGTACTAAAAAGCTGAGGCTTTTCTAGAGCTTGGTTTTGTCCGGCATCTGTCAAGCTGCAGCTTTTTTTAATCTTCCTGCTGATATGAAGCACCTGGACTGCAGTTTTGCTGTTGTCCCAGGCAGGTCTCTGTAGGGGCTGGCTTTGAAAGAGCCTGGCCTTCCTCTGCCTTTGCATCTCTCTCCCTGGGCAGCTGTGTGCCCAGCCATGCAATGAGCTAGCTACCTGGGGACCTAAGGCAGCTGAGATCGGTGACTTGAAGTGCTGTTTTGCCAAAGCTGCCTGGCCTGGCTCAGCATGTGCCTGAAGGAGCACTGGTGCTGGAGCAGAGAAAGGGGAAGGAGCAGGAGGGTGAAGGGCGGTGTCCCCCATCAGCTGCAGCCAGCAGTTCTGCTACCCTAAACTGACAACAGAACTAGAGTTTTAGTGTGGAAATGGGCTTCTTACATCACTACAAAGTTGTGTTATAAACATTATAAACTAGGTGGGTTTTTTTAATGTACTTAGCATGACTTTCTGAGCAAACCCATTTGTTTACCTCATTGTGAAAATGACTTCAGAAGGATTGCTATCGGAGCAAGAAAATCTCTTCCATAGGCTTGCATCTTCAATATTATTTTTCCTTTATCAATCTAGGTACTATGTTTATCAGTTACCTGGAAAGGGAAAATTTAGCTTAAATGGATGGACCAAAAGCTACTTTTATCCATTACCATTTTTGGGGGCTTTGGCGGAAGTTGAGGTACCTTTCTGCTTTGATTAACAGCCTGCTGAACTCATTCATGGAACTCCCTTTGCAAGAATGAATATGCCATTCAGTAGGTTGATAACTAGAAAAAAACTTCAAATATAACTGTGCCTGGTGGATCTGTGACACCCAAGTGCACAGAGGTCTCAGACGGGGATGCTGCTGGATGAAATCGTCAGCTGGTCCCCTCACGGAGAGCTGAATTTCCTGGATCAGTTCTGCAGGAACATCTGAATGGCAGCCTTGGGCTCGCTTCCCTTTGTAAGGTTTCCAGACCATGGTTTCAGTGAGGCATTTATCTTCATGCGGCTTCTTTGTCTTAACCATGTCACACGTCTAACCTGTCTGTACTGCTCTCCTCAGCATGTAAAGGGAGTGGATTTAATTACAGAAATGAAAAACTACATAGGTCTTCAATCTTATGTAGCTTTAAAAATAACTGGGTTTGGGTTTTGTGGGTTTTTTTAAGTTAAATTATTCATTTGTTGACAAGGTGTGAGAAAGGTATTCTTGTAACAGTAGCTTTAGCTGAAAATAATCAGCTTAAATACACACCTGCTAATCAGCTTTCTATTGACACTGTTAAATGGCTATAGCTGAACTTAACATTTCCATAGGCTGTTTTGACCTAAGTACTGTGAATTTTGATTCACAGTAGGATCTAGGCATAGGTTGTCTCAGACAGTGCAGTTTTAATCTTATTTGGCGATGTGGACATGTTCCCTGGAGTCCCAGCTCCATGGTTTTAATGCCTGTTGGTTTGCACTTTGAGGACAGTCTCAGAAGAGGAACCTGGTGTGCCCAGCTCAGTATACTCTATGCCCTGCATGTTGCCAAGTTTAAGAGGAACATGAAGGCCCCTGCAGCTTGTACCCTGCACAGTTTGGATTCCTCAGTTTCTTGCTTTGAAGTTTAATTGTGCACACTCCCAAGGTCCTGGATTTACCTTGTAAAACCAATTTGGCTTGCTGTCAGATGGTCTGTTTTGCTGGGTTATTCCATACGACCCTTTCTACCAAAATACCTTTGTTTAATGACTTGAATATGCATTACCATCCCAGAATGGCCTTTGGCAGTGACCATGTGGCTGTGCTGACCGTAGGGCAGATGGTTACCAGACACTGCTCTCTGCTCTCACTGGCTGGAAATGCATGCAAGGATTAGCAATGAAAGGTATTTGGGATGGGCTTTTCCAAAGGCAGTTCAGATTCATTAACAATTGGGTTCTGAACTTGGGTTTCCTTAAAATCTCCAGCTACAAAGACTAAACTTCATGGTTTGAATGTAAATGCCTTAGTTCTGGGAGCCTGGAGCAGGTAGGGATGTCCTGCTTGTCACCTGTTTCCCTTCTGAAGAAGCAAGCTAAGTGTATAAGTTATTTCTAGTTCCTTGTTTTAATTATGTAAGTAGAAATTGCAAGAGCCGCATATTTCTTGAGAGGTACGAAACTACTCCTCTAAATTAATTGCTCTCCAAATTGTTTCAGAGCCTCTTTGCAACCATGCTGGATGTGATCCAGCTCAGTCCTGCTACAAAACAGCAGGTGCAAAGCTGACTCAGCCTGTGCCCGTCTTGGCCCTTTGAAAATTGCCATTCGTGAGCTTTTCTCTGTGGCCTGGAGCAGCCCGAGTGTACCCTGTACAGCCAGACAGATGCCGATCCCCTCTCTCTCCCCTCCAGTTGCTGCATTGAAATTGATAAACTATTTTTTTCAAAATACCTTCATACTCTCTTTTTGTTAATAATAAATTATCTTCAGAGTGCTTTGGAGGTTCAGATAGAAGAGACTATTGTGTTTTACAGACAGGTGGAGAGAATGTGATTTGTTTTTCAGGGTAAGGTGATTCTTAAAAATACTTAATAAATAATTCTTTCAATTATTTGAGGCTGGGCCTAACTTGCCACACGTCATACACTTGCTTGCTGACACTTGTAGCATTTGCAGCATTGGGGGTGGGAACTTACTTCCTGATAAGTGAATGCTTCACATATTTATTCAGTCATACCTACTTAAATGTAGCTTACAGCAGGCTTTTTTGGTCTACTTGCCTCATCTCAAGTTGTCCAAGAGTAAAAATACAAAATGTGGCTTAACGTCCTGTATCGTTAGCCTCATTATAGAAGTAACACCAAGAGAAACTTGGTCAGAAACTTGAAAGCTTGTTTGGGTAGAATTTTCAATATTGAGAATCTACCAAAAGCATAAATTAGTTATTAGATATATTTAAAAATATATATTGTACGGAGAAGAAAATGAGGCTCTGTGACTACAGTAGACTTTATGGTCAAGTGAACATACATCTTGCAGTCTGAAATACAGCATTCGAGCAATGAAGTGTTAGTGCAGTGTAATGTCACGGAATGCTAAATACTTGGGGTTTTTTGTGGTAATTACCCCCCTTTTCACATCCTCTCATCTATTAAAATGCTGCCAGCTTACTGTCCTAGTGAACTCAGTTTCAAAATTGCAGTCAGTCTACTGCCTTTTCATAAATCATAACTAGGCCAGTGAGTGACTTGGACAATTTTATGAAGATAACTATTTGTTACAAACAATTTAATACAGGGTTCAAAAAAAAATCCAGTATATTTTATCCTCTTAGCATTAGGTTGTGGTGACTTTTAGGGGGAATGTAAGGTGAAAAATGTTTTATCTAAGCAGTTTAGCCATAAGGACTGAATTGCATGATGAATGGTTTATAATTAGAAAAAAAAATTGACAGGAGATACTGCACAATTGTAAGGTTTTACCTCCTGGCTACTTCTAGTGGAAACATGAAATACATTTTTTGGGGATATGAAGGCAACTTTTGTAGTCCTCTCCTTCAGCTGGAGCTAGTGTTGATGTGGTTTGGATCTGCTGCCGTTTGCACTATTGCAGGGAGTTGCCATGTGCCTGGTTCTCCACGGTTCTCTCTTGCAGGCATTTGTTTTATGATTTTGGCATGTAAAAAGCTTCACAATGAAATACCCATGATGCAAGTGGCCATTGTTAACTACTGCAGATGAGTGTGTAAAAACCAGCATTTCTGCTCTGAAGATATGCTCTTACCAAATCTCAGAAACTTCCTGTGATTCCCGAAAGTCGTGGTTCTGCTCAAAAGAACCAGGCTCTTCATTTCTAACAAACAGTTTTAAGAAGCCTAAAAAACCAGAATAATCTTGCTCCACATTGTAATAATACAGGGAGAGACTGTTGTATAGTTGTGAGGAGAGGCTGAAACAACCGGGGGGGAAGGAATATTTATGGCTCCGCTATTTGAATAAAGAAGTAAATATTGCTTCTGGCTGCCAAGTACAGCATTCCATATGCTCTGTCCTTAAAGCTTAAAACGGTTTAGTGTTACAGGTAAGATTGAACAGACCATGAACAAATGGATAGTGCATCTTTTCATCTCTGTGGCTCAATTTTTATCTGAAATGCTGTTGAACCACTTGTTCCCTGTTGAATTTTTTTGCTCAAGGTTTGTGGTCTGATGTGTGGCATAATGAAGATGTGGAATTGCAGAGGAAAGCACTTTAAGAAGGGAAAGGAAGCACAGTAGTAGTATACAAAAGTGCTGAAGTATGCCCTTCAGGTGTCTCTGAAGTGGCTGAGAAGTTGAAATGGAGATTTGTGTGTTTGTGTGTGCTACTGGAAAAGCACATGTTCCAGTTACAAATTTTTGTTTAAAGTTAAGCATCAATTCAGTGAGAAGATTCTTAAGTTGAGTAGCCGTCGAGTTTGATTAGTCAGGACTTGTGCAATATCTCCTTCCAGTGGATAGATGGCCAAACTAAGCAATTAGGGACAAATCATGGAAAAGGTAACTTTCTTAAAAGAAGGCAGAACACAGTCATAAAATACATGATTCATTCTGGAGATGAATAGGGCTGTGCAAAATATTTGCTGCAGACACTTCAGTCTCAAGTATTGAGACAAAGTTTGGTTTATGGGACTTCTCATAATTTCAAATTAACAATTCACTAGTTGGTGCTCTTGCTGAAGCTTCATGCTTCACATGCTCCGTTTCTTGCCACCACCATGATACTGGGAGCTCACTGGTTGTTTAGTAGTTCTGCTTCTTAGTTGGATGGCAGAGATTCACGTCAGGCTTGCGATCCGCAAGGAAGCATTGCAGCCTCCAGCTTTGTGGAGGCCAGACATTACCTTTAAGGTAACAACATTTAACTGCCAATGTAAGTTTTAAAAGTTTTTGTTTGCCTTTGTAACATTAGTCTTCTCATAAATCTGAATTGCAAACTGCCTGAAGGGGAACTGATGCATCTATTTTCTTTGACAAAGGTGTGGTTTGCTATTTGCTTTTTTCCTGAAGTGCTTTGCATCATCTGAAGCTCCATGTGCTGACATTTAAAGATAAGGCAAAGACAGGCAGCACATTCTTTTAGCTAAATGGAGGCAAATGAATAGCTCTGACCTTGCAAATAAAGAATTTAATGCTTGCTCTTTCCTCTGTTGCTTTTAAATGAAGTGGATCATGTGAAGCATTTTGCTACAGTTACCTTAACTGAGGCATGCAAGTTGCCTGCCTCTCAGCTATGCCCTTACTCTTGCTATGGAAGGTCAGATCCATGTGCATGTGGTTGGCTCTATAGTGTCTCGGTTTGGCTTGCTGCCTGGTTCTTTGCATTATAAAGTGATGTCCCCTAACAGTGATGTTTTCTCTTCCCCAAAAACATGACAATGCAGTGCATATATATTCAATAACTTTATGCCAAGGCAATGTTATAGAAGTGTAAATGCTAATTTTTCCTTTTTTTTTTTTTTCCCAAAGGGAGCAGTTGTAAGAGAAGTTTGTGGAAGGAATAAAGATAGGAAAGTAAAAATTTTTCTTGGTGGTGGTATAGAAAGTATCAAAAACTGTGAAATCTGCTTGGGTTGCAGGGAATGTTGTGGTAGGTTTCAGCTCAGCCTCTGTTGCATTATTGCCAGAATGAAGAGCTTGGCTTAAATCTGTCCAGATCAACAGATCTTTCACACAGACCCAGCACTGTTAAGCCTGCTTTTAAGCCTAAATCACATGCACATCAGTTTCCACGCAATACAGCTCACTCTCTTAATGCTTTCTAGTTCAACTGCAGGTTCCAAGTGATGGTAGCAGGGCCAAAACTCTTTACAGTTTCCTTAAAAGAGAGTGCAGGTGTCATTTATTGAGTTACTCATGCTTTTGATGAGCTGTAGCAAAGAAGGAATCAGATGTGTAACTGAAGGCGCTCTGCTGGGGCAGGCTGGTTTCCCTTGAGCTGAGCCCACTACTGCTTTGGGAATCAGTCCTTGTAGATGCTGTAATTGATTTATTTAAGACTCAAACACAACTGTGATGAAAATGCCCTGTGCTGCCTGTACAAAAATCCTTAAATCTTCCTGTGCTTTTACAGAGTTTATGTTTACATTGTTTGGGCAGTGTGCCAAACTGCTGAGAAGTGCATGCATGCATGACGTCTCCTGTCTTTGAGGATCACATTAAGATTTTAGTTGATTTTTCTCTTGAGCAGTCATTCATCTGACTAATTTATTTTAAACCAAAGTACTGGAGTCCATATAGAAGCAGTTTTGCTCAAGGTCAGTGACTACACTCTTGTGTTAGAAATCATGTTTCACCTTGCTTCCAGGCTTTGGGTGCAGCTGGAAATGCGAAAGGCGTTTGCTGCAGTCATATTAACAGTAGGAAAGTGACTCCTCCTATTCGGGCCTGGCTGCCTGGAGATGGGAATGCTAAATTTCAAACTCAAAAAATAGAAGTTACTAACTTCTGTTTTGCCTTTTAACCAGCTGCAAATATGGGGAGACAAGCCTAGGCAGTCTTCATAGCATACCTGTGTTAATACAGATGTAAAGAGAATTACACAGCATTTCTCTTTGCTTAATACTCTGTACTTTTTGGCTAAAACTGTTCTGTATCTTGCATATTTAAATATCTCAGACATACAAACATTAGCAGTACCTTTCAGATTGGCAGTTCTGTATCGGGCTGTGCATGTGAGGGCAGAATTGCTTCTCTGCTGTATATCTGAGTGTGAGTAACATTGAATGTGTAGTTTTCAGGATATTAAGACTCTCAAATTTAGCTAAGTGGTTTATATATAAAAACGCAAAGTACTCTGACAAATAAGCTACTGAAATGGGATCAAATTAGGTGAAGTAGCAAATGCAATTAATTTTTTTATTGGAGCACTTCAGTCTGTCTCTTGAGACATTCATTCTTCTATGACGTGACAAACTGTCACACTTGTGCTTTCTGTGTGGGTTTGTGGCTTAACTAGATTGAATTAATTTGCAGCATAAGAAACACTGAATTTAATATTTTTGCAAAGATCTTTTCATGTGTCCTTGGAGGTGGCACACATCTCATGGATAAATCATATTTGTCTTTGTATATCCATGTTGCTGTGCAGTGTGTTCACTGTCTTTAATACCTCTAAATGAAGATGTGACATTAGTATTGAACTTGATCCAGTTACTTTTTTTTTTTCTCTTTTTTTCTTTTGACATCTTCAGTAACCACTTCTGCAGCTTGTGAGAAATTGGAGAGAGACAGGAATGAACTGCAAGTTGCTTATGAAGGATTTTTGCAAAAGTTAAACCAGCAACATCATGATGACTTAGCTGAGCTGGAGGAGAGGCTTAAACAGTTTTACACTGCAGAATGTGAGAAACTCCAAAGTATCTGCATTGAGGAAGCTGAGAAGTACAAAGCACAACTCCAGGAGCAGGTTTGTAATATTCAAAGTAGAAAAGTTCTCTAGCAATTGATTTCTGCTACAAATGAGTCTTCAGAGAATCTTGGGTTTTCTAATAACAGAGCTTCTTTATTTAATGTGAAACTCTACTTCACTGCAGCTATAAAAATACTACTACATTAAGCTGTACAGATCTTAAACTTATGTTTAAACGTGGTAGAGATTCCTTGTGTTCTGCCAGCTTCAGTAACTTCTAGAGCTCCACTGGATATTTGATGCAGCTTGAGTTTTAAGATTTATAGAAACACACCTGCCCTCTGACCTTGCTTTGCAACAACTCCATGTGTGTGACAGATGCACACATCATCCTGTTGGTAGTGATAAATTGTAACGCATCATTTTCATTTACTGAGTGTTGCACATGGCTTAGCTTCTCCTGTTAAATCCTACTAAACCATTTTAAATGTACTCAATGTACTACATAAAGACATTGAAACAATGCTTTAAACAAGGGTTGATACACATAAGGGGAGAAAAATCATGTTGTCATATTGCAGGTGGACAACTTAAATACCACACATGAAAGCTTTAAGCTGGAACTCGAAAACAGACATTCAGAAAAAGTAGAGGAGCTGAAAAAGGAGTATGAATCCTCTTTTTCAGGCAAGTATTTTGTATTCAAATACACATGCTATAGTATTGCTAGTCACAAACAAAAATATTTAGGCTTTCTGATCAATATGTCCACTTCATTGTTCTTAGTGGCCAGCTGTCTTTAAAAACATTGGCTGAATTCCTTCCTTTGGAACTAACAAGCCTCATTTTACATACAGCAATAACCATGATCCCATTGTAGTTGAATGAAACTTTTAAAACTGTTTGAGTGGAAGTGACTTTTTCTTTCAGTAGAAAATGTCTGAATTGCCCTCAATGTCTCCAGTGCCTAGTAATTCCTCCTACTCCCTAGTTCAATAAGGAGCACCTCAGAATTGAAACTGAGGATAAGTAGGCTGTATGCTTTCCAGAATGACATGGACATTATACACTGGGTACAGTACACTGGGGCAAAAGTGGTTCTTCAGGGAGGGGGTGGTGAGTGTGCTTAGGTTTAAATGACATTGTATCTCATTAATTTAAGTGATGATGATTTCCATCCTCCTTCCAACTCCACTTGATAGCCAAATTTCCAGTGACACTTCTGTGTCTTCAAAACTGGTGACGCTTCCACTGCTGTCAAAGAGCAAACTCCTCTGCACAGCATCTCTGAAGGAGGCATGGAAATTTTTTCTAGAATCTTGTAGAGGAACACAATTTCAGTTTTTGCTGTGTTTCCTTCTAGAAACTCAGCTTTTTTCAGATGTGGCTAAATCCATTTGCTGCACACAGATGAATGCTTTCAAAACTGACATGCTCTCAGCTAATGAAATGGATATGCAAAGGGACAATCCACAAATCTGAAGTGGCAGTAAATCTGATACTTCATACATGCTTTGCATCAATTAATGATAAATGTTCTTTCTGTATTGTCATTGACTCTGCATCTGTGCATATGTGTATAGGCTGGCTTTACAGGCTGTTTCTTTCCAAAAGAATTTTCACTTCTTATATTAAAAATCTGCAAAAATAATTTGTTTCAGAGCTCAAGAGCACCCATGAATCTGAAAGGAAGTCACTTGAAGATTCTTTTAAAGAGAAGCAGGAATTGCTGGAGGTTTGTTAAAGGCTGGGGTCATTGCAACAGTCTAAAACTTGAAAGGCAGTTTGGAGATGTGCAGTCAGTTCTTGGCCTAACTATACCGTGTATTTTCATTTCAGAAAAAAATCGATGAACTAAAAAGTGAAAACGACTCTCTGAGTGAGAAGCTGAAATTAGAAGAACAAAAACAAATAGCCAAAGAAAAAGCCAATGTTGTAAGTCTTGATCTTCAAAAGTAATGGGGATGAGCAGATCTTGCCTGGGGTTATTCCATAATATGAAAGGTTTGCAATCAAGCCTGATAGGACTCCCTTACTTAGTAGTATTTTATGTAAGTGGCTCATCTGCCAGTTTTTTGCAAGCACTGTGATGCTGTCTATGAATTTTACCACTATAAATCTATAAAGCTGTTGAGTATATAAGTCAGGGGTGTAAATAATATCCTAAGCTAAATTGAAGACCTATGTGTATGCAGAAGTTGTACCACAGCTTTTTTCTGGACAGTTGATAACTGTTCTAACAGTGCTATGATCAGTGTGGGCTTGCATCACTACTACAAAACTCTCTTCTTGTACTTGAGTCTTTAACACATTTATTCAGACATTAATTTGTAGTTGTTGCTGATTTATCCTTCAGATAAACTTTTTTCCTGCCTTTCCTCTCAAGGCTGCTGTTGTCATTGATGCTCCTGGGATAGAAATGTGCTCTTAGGTTTTTCATGCACTTGGGAGGGTTAGATACAAACATGCTTATCTTTCTGGTTACCCAGAAATAACTGGAATACCAGTAGTATTGTTTATTCCATAAAGAGAAACTCCATGCCTAAAAACTCACCTAGGATGCCTCCAGTAGAAGTTGCCCTAGTTTTCACTGGAATTTAATTTGTTTGGGTTTTTTCTTCTTACTACTTATTCTAGTGGCAGGACAGAGCTGCTGCAAGAAGAATATGCAACCACAGTATGTTGCTGTGATGGTGGGATTTTGAACTGTATTCCACAGGAATGCTCAGATCTTGTTTATGTTAAAGGAGCAATAGTCAAGTGCCTTTACATAGCTGCAAATGCACTTTGCGTCCTGATGCATCATAAGCTTGAGGCTTCTCTGTGGAGAAGTACCAGTTTGACTCAGCATACTCTTCTGTACTAAGCAAAAATTCTGCACTGTCAGAATTTCCAATAACCCTTTGAAGACAGAGATGTGTTTACAACTCTCTGGTATCCTTTAGATAGCATCACTTGATATTCCCAGCTTTTTTCTAAAAACTTGTGTAGACCTTTCAGTCTTTTTATTTGGCTGTGTGTTCTGCTATGAGTAGCTCATGTAGGTGCTCAGATTAAACTTCAAAAAGACATTTTAAGACCACTGGGCTAGAGGAGGGAAAGACAATGAATTGAATATCGAACATACTGTAAGCTGCATTTAAACTTCTCAGGACTGCTTTTCTCCCTAGCTCCTGGCTTCCATGTAAAGTCCCAAGAGGGAGGAAGGAATTGTCTGCTGCCTTCACTGAGGCAGCACAGCATGCTCCACCCCTCACACGGACATCTGTTCAAAAGGGGTTAAACAAGAATCACTGATGCAATAGTCCTTAAAAACAGGCAGGAGAATGAACTGCATAGGTGATGGAGCCCCTGTTACCTGCAATATGTACTGTCCCTGTCCTTGTGGGACTGTGCCCCATAAAACTGCAGGCATTGCCCTCCAGTATGAGGTTTCTGGCGCAGCAGTGAAGCTGTTACTCAGTGCACTGCACCTGTATTCTTACCCAAATACACTAAAACAAGTTTTGCTTAGATACAAAATGCACTTAAACATTGATTTGGCTTGTGTTCCACTTGGACTACCTGGAAATGGACTGAGATTTGCTTTACTTCTTATTATTTTTGCCTGTGACTTTGCCTTTGAAAAGTAGACAATGTGTTTTATTCTGCAGTGTTTGAATGGTTCCTTACTCTGGAATATAGGTCCTTCAGGAAACCACATATGACCTTGCCCTGTCTCCCTCCTCTCCCCTCCACCTCTCAGAAAACAACAAAAAGGAAGAATAAAAAAGGAAGTCCTAACTTGCTGTATTGTAGATAAGTCATGGATGTACAGCAGTGCAAGATTTGTGTGTGCAATTGCATTGCCAGGCTTTAACAATAATGTAAAACTGAAAACTTTGAATTTCTGCTTATAAACCTTCGGACTCAAACCAGGGAAGATCAGTCAGGTTCTGAGGTTAAACTTCTGGTGCTTTTTTGAACTATTCCAGTGTCTGAAGACTCTTCAAATGTTTACTTTAATTATCTCTTGGGATGGGTTATGAGTAATATGAAATAAATTTTGGAACTCCTAACCTTAAAGGGAGCCTTTGGGCACTCCTGTGAAACAAGTTTTGCTGTGACAGCGTTAGTGCCTTGAGTCACAAGGGTTTTTCATGTCTGTATGAAGTGTTTTCTGAACAGCTTCTGAGGAAAACTGCAACTGTCCACCTACACCAAAGGAAAAACAAAGTCAGAGAAGAAGGTCGTATCAGATCTTGTTATTTATTCTAAACTGTTTGACTTGACTTCACTTAGAACAAGAAACGGTTGTTACCATAATTATTTTCTTGCTTTTTCTGAATAGCAGAGAAACAACTAAATTGTTCCTGAAATTCAGGGCACTAAGCAAACTCTCTGGAAATCTTTCAGAAAAACCCACAGATTATGTACCTGGAACAGGAGCTGGAAAGTTTGAAAGCAGTGCTGGAGATCAAGAATGAGAAACTCCATCAGCAGGATATAAAGCTAATGAAGATGGAAAAACTGGTGAGTGTTTCTAGGAGTCTGGCAGATTGGGGTCATGTCTCTGAGTTGTGTTCTGATAATGACCTCAGACTGGTCAGACTCAACAAGAATTAATATTTTTTGTTTAACAGGAAACATGAAATCATGATGGGACATGCTCATGTTGTAGGTACAGCACTCAGGGCTGTAATGTAAAGAGGGGGAAGGAATGCCCCGATGCTGTAAATGACCATGTTCTCTTTTTTACTTCCCTCTCTTCTCCCTCGTCCCTGGAGAAAAAAATCCTTACCTGCTACATTTGCTTGAGTGGTATGGAAGATAGATTGCACTGCCAGGAAAACATTAAAAAGGAAATTATCCTAATTTAATAAGAAGGGATCAAATAAGAAATGGAATAAATGTTGATTAGCTTAGGTCATTCATTTTAGCTGTTATCTTTAAGGTGCTTCTTTAACTGTGTGGACTTGCTCCTGACCGATGTGTAATTCCACATGAAAAGACAATTTTGGGGGCAGAACTTGTAATTACTCAGCATGCTGTTATTTGTGTCAGGATGGGGTCCTTCTTCTGGGTGGGGCCTTCAAACACTGTTGTAATACTTGCTTAAGCAAGACTTTAATGAGGAAGTATAGAAAGAGGTTTGGATACAAAGGATTCAAGTCAGTTGCTCAGTGTTGTACAGCAGCATATGTTACCCTAGTCTACAGTTACTAGTAAATTACTAGCAAACCTTCATCTTTCCTGAGAGATGTTGGCCATAGTGTAGAAGCCCTTGGATTATCCAATCATTTATTCAGTTTTTCCTTAAAATGCAGTGGAATCAGGAGACCAACAGAGAAAGCTGTTTACACAGGGGAGCTCCTAAATTTGGCATGTTACTGTGTTATTTCTAGACAGTCTTCTGTCTACAACAGCTTCTAAAACTGCTGGCTGTCACTGGCAGAAGTTACTAGAATGTCCTGGTTAACAAGTAGATCCCTTATGCAGTCCTCTTTGCTGGCATCTAACCAGCACAAGTGGCCAAGTGCCAGTGTTGCACAAGGATAAGGGAAGTAGGATCTATTTGATGTTACAGAACATTAAGCCATGGCAGCAGGTCAGTCTGACGTTACTTCAGGTTTTTATATCTACTGTTAACAAGGTCTACAAACTCCAGATTACGAATGTCTGTGATAGCTCAGTATTTTGATGAGCGAATGTATAGGTTTTGTTTTAAACTGTGACCTTCTTTCTAAGGTGGAGAACAACACAATTTTAATGGATAAATTAAAGAAGGTTCAGCAAGAAAACGAAGAATTAAAAGCTCGGATGGACAAACACATGGAGCTTTCAAGGTGAAAAATATCTGTGGACTTTTAGATGTGATGAGAAAGAAATTTCTGTATAAATATTAGTGAATGCAGTTTTGTAGTACTGTGTAAAAGAACACATCCCTTTCTTCCTCACTTGTCTCTCTACAAATGTGCATTCCTTTGTAGAAGAACAAGCAGGAACAGATTGTAAGGGGGTAAAGGCCCAGTATGTTCTTCAGTGCTCAAAACGAACATTTCGGGGAAGAAAAAGCAACTTGGAAATACCCTTCTACAAAGATTGTCTCTCTTAAGTGAGCTAAACTTCTGTTTTAAACACTTCAGTGAGTGATTTGTCCCCAGTTTAGATCAGTGTGTTATATTTAACAAATATGTGTTACATTTATCCAAAATGTGTTTTATTTAGCAATAACAGTATTATTTAACATGAACAAAGCAGGTCTGAGGTTCTCCTAACTTCAGCTTTTGCTTAAATCGATGGTCAGACTCTTCCAGTTCGCATCTTCTATGTAGAGCTGAGCCTGCAACAAGACCCAAAGGTTCCAGCACAGCCATTTAAAAACATCTATTATTTTAAGTAGGACAAGTCTTACTCTTCAGAAATTTTTTCCACCCTTTAGGGATGCTTCTTATTGAGAGTTTCTTCTGCTTTTTAAAATCTACCAGTTTAAATCCAACAAGGATGAGAACATGCTATCCTCCCTTTAAGAATGGAATTTAGTTGTGAGCCAAGCAGGGGTTTATGCACTTTCAAACCTTTCTTTACAATTAAGTTCAATACCGTAGCTTTCAGCTTGGGTTATGTGTTCTTATGTAAATCTTCTGTTTGCAGGCAACTTTCTACAGAGCAAGCTGTTTTACAGGAGTCACTAGAGAAGGAATCAAAAGTAAACAAACGCCTGTCAATGGAAAATGAAGAACTTCTGTGGAAGTTGCACAATGGTGACCTATGCAGCCCAAGAAAACTGTCTCCGAGTTCTTCATCTGTGCCTCTTCAGTCCCCACGAAATTCTGGTAACTTCTCTAGTCCTGCTGTGTCACCAAGATGACATCTCTTGAGAGAAAGAGAGGATTGCATTTCGTTTCTGATCTGCAGAACCAATCTTAATTTTAATCACAGGAGCAAGAGCTATATTAGCCGACTATGACATCTAAACATAACTGGAAACTATTCAGTGCAAAAATGGCAAGAAGAGACTGTGAATATGGGAGTAAGACATTCCCTCCTCCCAAAAAGACTTGTTTATGACCTCTATGGACATAGTTGCACAAAGCACTTAAAGAGCAAGGAAAGACTTGTTTGTTGCCTTTTCACCTAACTCTAAGAAGAAGCTCAGGGGCTTAGAGATAAAGATCACAACCTTTATAATATGTTCCTTATCACCGACACTTTTTTAAGGCTGTGTGTGTGTGCGCGCGTGTGTGTGCTGTGGATGGAATGGATGTAACACACTGTGCGTGTGTCTAATGCTGCCTTCTTTGCTGTGTACGTAATAAAGGATAAAAACTGAAGACTATACTTCATTTACTTCCTTGATACTGTTGACAGTATGCATGCTTTTAGCAGAGTAGCCTTGCCCAGCAATGAGGAGAAACAGCCACTCGTACTGTAGGTTAGTTTCCTTCAGCTTTCTGGCTTCAGTTTGGTAAAAAAACGGCATGAAAAGCTTTGTCAACTGACTCATTAATGTCTTGGCCAACCTAAGTATGCAACTTTGAATTAATTTTAAAAACAAACTGAATTGCAGCCATATTTTGCATGGGTTCTTGGGTTTTTTCTCTGCCATTTATGAGGAGACATTTTTTGCAGGATACAGTGGATTTTGGCTTTCAAGTCAACAGAGTTGTAGTCAGAACCACAGTAACCCTCGAGTTCAGAAGTTCTTATTTGAGCTGCAGGTTTAGAAACCTAGACTTTAGCATCTTACCAGTTGAAAAGGAATTGCTAATTTCCCAAAGCATCAAGTCCATTTCTGAGGATACACTAGATGTAGATTGGAAAGCCAAAGCAAAAAATGCAATAATTGTCACCAGGTGCATTCTTAACTCAGTTCTCGAGATGAATCTTAAGTAATTGGTGAATTTCAATGTAGCTGGTGACACACTTACTTTGCCTTTTTAAGCATTAGGATTTGTATGAACATTCCTCAGGGTTGGCTAAATTCACCTGAGGAAGAGGGAAAAGGTGGTATCTGTGTATTTTGTCTTGCTAATTCTGCCATACCTTCCCTTTTAGACTGCAGGATATTGGTCTTTTGCTAGTATTTGGTGAAAGATCCTGTACTAGAGATTCTGTAGAGTAGGGAGGGAAAATTGTCCTGGCTGCTGGAACTGGAGGACAAGGGTGTCAGTGTTTCTGGAAATGTCACATGATGAGCTTTAGCTTCAACAAGGTATTCATTTAGCCTTGCTCCACCCTTGATCAGACCTGTTTAAGATATCTACTTTTTACCTGCTAAACACAGATTCAACTTCAAATTGGTATTACAAACCCCTATCGATGTTTACAGTAGCTTGGGTTTTACAGTAGGGCCAGGACCACTGTTACAGTACTGGTTAGCAAATGCTGTTAGCTGGACATACAATTTGCCATGACAGTTACCAGTATCTGCTGAGTTTCCCTGTGTTTTTTAGTAGTTTGAGGACAGGAGTCAGGGGGGAAGGAGAGCATTCAGGGAACTCAACTGGAGGACCATTTCATTTTACCTGACTTGCAAAACCTTGTCTAGTACTGAGGAATACAGACATAGAAACAAGACTCTTAACAGTGCTCATACAGTAAGTAAATTTGTAATAAACTTGTGATTGACTGTTTCATCATTAAATTTACTTAATCTTTCATAACGTACAAGTTAAGGGTGCCATTTCTATAGAATATTATGCTTTCTTTTAATCCTTTATAGGGCACTGTACAAACCACTTACTGGTGGTTTCAGTACTTAATATGTTTTTCAAATTCATCTACGAAGATCCTGTGTTGGCTACAACTTGGCTTAAAGTATCTCTTGGAACATTCTTATTTTCTATGGTCAGAGATTTGATTGCATGTATTTGAGCTGAATGCTTTACAATAAATTTTTTGTACCAATTTAAGGATTTTTCTTCTGCTTGTATTAGTCAAATAATCTTTAATCTAGGGAGGAACATGCCTCTAGCTACTAAAAACTCTTAGTGCCTGCTCAGCACAGCAGAACAACAATAGTGAAGCTTCACTGCACAAATTAATGTTCAGCTAGCCCTTTGAAAATGTTACCCTTGCTACTCTAATGTAAGTAGAAGTTACACAGAGCTTGCTTGTGATTATTAGCAATTCAGTTTGAGTTGGCCATTAACAAAAAAAAAATGTAGATTAGGTACTCAAAGTGCATATGTCTGGTAAAGGCATCCTACAGAACTCATTAAAATGCTCACCTTATTCAGGAAGTTTTGTGTGTGAGAAAAGCCACAGTTACAGTTTAGCAGTCTAAGAGGTCATGTCACAAGAACAGTTGTCCAGCCACTGGTAAGAACTTTTATTACATTAGTTGCAAAGTAATGCCTCAAATAAAACATGCAGGAAGATTGCATACAAGTGTTTGAAGGTCAGATATAGCATAGCCCTTCATGTAACAGAGCAGGGAAAGCTTTTCCAGGCTACTGGTACAGAAAAGTAAGTATGGTATAGTAAATAATACAAAGACTGTTCATTTGTTGATAATTTCCCACAGTGCACAGGAGACTCCTCATCTCTAAATCGCTTGCAAGTAAAATCTTTAATGCTTTTATGAAGAAATCAAGACTGCTTGTATATAGAAATCAGACTACAAATAACACCTGTTCAGTGTTTGTCCTTTTGGTCTCAAAGAATTAAATAATTCTATTCATCTGTAAATACTGTTTTAATGTTTTTCTGTTTGAGTATCAGTATTTCAAGCTTTACCTTGGGTACCATGTGTTAGCAAAAGCTTTGTTCAGTGCAGTAACTTTTACATATTTTTGGGTTTTTTTTCTTTAGCATAAAGTTAGAAGCTTGCTCACCACAGTCATAGACCAAAGGTCAAGCAATTAAACAAGTGATTTTCTTCAGATACTGAACTTTAACTAGTAGTTCTAACTCTAATGATAAGCTTCAAAGGAAGTTACAGTGACATTTGTATCTACCAAGTAGTTTCTTGCCATTCAAACTGTTCATAATATGGTTCACCTTCAATTCACCTTTCAGTACTTTTCTCTAAAGGTCGTTGTATGAGTTGCACTGTATTTGCTGTACAATTTGAAGTGAATCATTTCCTTAAGCTAAATGAAGATGTTTCTCATTACAAACACCAAAGACACTTGCATGTAAACTGGTATCATGCAATTCATGCAGGAAATTCCTTCTAGACAGTAAGTAACCTCTATATTTAAAACTGTAGTTGCCCAACAGCCAGGAAATCATTTAGGGCTGAGCTGGAGTTAAAAAGGTCATTAGAAAGTCAGGATAATCACTGAATGTTTAAGAAACAAATACCCTCTGTCCATTGCTGCTGCCATGCCTCAGAAGAGCAGTGACACAGGTATGGAAATGGAAAGAACAGTACTGGCAGCTTTAGGCATGTAACCTTGCAAGTAATTTACATTTCATTTCCTAGGCTCCATTCTCTTATCCTGGGTCACTGTTCATTTAGGTGGAAATGTGTAACTGCATCAGCTCTGCCCAGGAGGTTTTTAGTAAAATATATAGTAAAATAATTCTCATAGTTTTAAATAAGAATTATTTCAGTGCTTGGGGGGAAGGACAGGGGATGATGGACAGGACATGACACTTGTGACTATTCTTCCTTAAAGGCACTGCTTCTGTAGTTGTTATCAGTCATGAGAACTGCACCTGAGGGGACTACTCAAGCAATGTGATTTAAGCCATCTCTTCCTCTCCTGCCACAATGTGTTCAATGAAGTGATGCCACCACATGAACTGCTGTGCTATGAACAAGTCTGGGCAGGTGGCACGATCTCCCACTTGCTACATATTCTGAAGCAAATCAATTGTCAAATTAAAGGCTCAAATGCACTTTGAACTACAGTTGTAGTTCAACTTAGGAGTTATGCCAGCTTCCTAAATTTCACAGGGAAATGCATTGTTCTTATAAATGGAAGTGCTAAAAAGGAATTAATAAACAGACTCCTCCAGAAGATAAGGGATTCTTAATTTGGTCAGATTAAAAAAAAAAAAAAAAAGATACAAAACCAATTTTTCCCCTAAAAAATGGTACAAGGACCTTTTTCAGGTATGACATTGTATAACTTGTTTAGTCATTTGGGTAACACTGTAATATTCTTGATACATTTTAACAGATTAACAAGAATCTGCCTCTTACACCTTCAAGGTTGGTCCTGCTGCATACCATGTTTTTTTTTGTAGATACCTTGATTCCAGAGGCCAAAGATACTATAAGCACCTGGGGAGTGTTGTCCATGAAGCCTGTTAACATGAGACCTGCATAGAACCATTTCAGTCTTTACTGCGGGTATTTATCAGTTACATTGATTTGGGTTCCTGCATGCTGAGGAAAAAGCGTTCAGCAAGCTTGTTTAACGTTTTCATTAGCTACACTGTTCAAGCTTCTGACTTTACTGAGAAGCTGCCATTTTTACATTAGCTCTTACATCTGTCACTGCTCAAAACAGTGCTGTATGCATATGCTCAAGGGTCTGAATTAGCTGGAGCACCATGTCACCTCAGGCCTTCACAGAAGAAAGCGTTAGGAATTCCAGTCAAATGCATGCTGAGACAGACTGAAGTGTGTGAGCAAGGGACCAGTTCCTGGTTTGGTTCCTCATACGCTCAGAATAACCTGTTCGTCACATGCCTTATAAGTAAAATGCATCAAATTTTTCTTGTCATTCAATTCCACTACTGAGAAGTAGATTTGTATTGGAAGTTCTAGCTTACATGAATTTGGTGCTTGAGGCTAGGAAGAAAAAGCATTGCCAAAATATCCAAAAATGTTGTTACCAGGTTCTTAACTCTTCCTCTGGCATGTCTCTTTCCTTGCATTAGTTACTAAACCAAATGGCTTATTTATCCAGGTATAATTCTGTGTAAATGAAACATCTTTCCTTTTCTCCTAAGTAAATCAATACAATCAAGTTGAACTTATGAACATAAGAAGAAATTCTGCTGTATAATTGAACATTATTCTAATGTTATATTTGCTTTTTTTTCTTCTCTAAATGATAATATATATGTATAAATGCAAGTTTTACCTTCAGCAGCCATAATTCGCTACATAAGTTACTAAGCATAATGCTGTACATCTGTTGAGGAGTGAACTACTAAGTAAGCTACGTATTTTAAGGTTGTAAGAATGCAACAACATAAGGAAAATACAGCACACCTGACTGCTTACAGGTCTCTTGAGATACTGATCTAGGTGCTAGAGGATATTTAACTTTACCAGGAGTGAAATTTTTGTGCGTTTATGTCTTTACACATATATGAAATGAGCACACACACACATATTTATGTTTTTATAACGTTCAGAAATTTAATTTTTCTTGCAAAATAAACATCTGCTATTGGTTAATTTTGTATCAAGGGTTTTTTTTGCTTGTTTTTTGCTGTTCTTTTAAACATGTACAGTACTCTCATTATTAAAATTGCACGCACCACACAGCAGGCTGACCTTATGCAAGAGTCTGAGGGAAAAGCCCATATTATAAAGGAAAGCCCAAGAGCACCCATTCCTAAATACAACATGCCCTATGCGTGTTCAGGCTTAAACTTCAATGCTTCATAGTAGTTTCATTAACTCACAACTAACTACTGCTGGGCATAGTGAACTCTGTTGTGGCCTGTCAAGCTAGTGAATATGGAATGCGTTGACATATAAAAAGAAACAGTGAGAGAAAAGCTTCATTTAAACATTCATAAAGAAAATTAATGGCTATAATGTCAAATAACATACAGTTCAGTCCAGGTCCAGAAGTATTTCCTATCAATTTAGTTCAACTTTAGTAGCTACTGTTGTTTCTCCTTGTAGGTTCTGAGCTATACAGATGTAGTTTCCAGCATCTTTGGCTTCAAAATTCTCAACAAGAAGAACACTCTTTGAGATTCTTGTAGTATGTCCAGCTCCTCTGTTTATCAATCTCCAGAAGTTTTGGATAATCACAGGCCTCTCAGACTGTTTAAAAGAGAAAAAAAAGAAAAAAAAAACAACAACCCACCCACACAAAACATGTGATTCTCCAAAGTGTACTTAGCAACAGCACCCCATCAAACCCTGATGCAAGAGGTTGGATAGTAGAAGCCTATTAGTCAGCCCTAAGTGAGGAAACTGAAGGTCTGGCAGTTGCAGCAACATTCCTGCATTAAATACTGATGTACCAATAAGTTATGCCAAATAAAGGTAATACAATGGCTCTTCCACTCTAAGCACAGGTACTGTTTATCTTTAGATCAGTGATGGGCTGACAAAGCTCTGCCTGGAGCCTCTGAGTGAGCTCAGTTTTAGGCCATTTACTAAGGCTGCATTTGGGTACCTGATCAGGTAGCTTGGGGGATGTGTCAGGATGGATGTGTGAGCTCATTTTCAGACTTTCAATGTCTCAAAAAGAAGGCAGCAGTGGCATAAGTTAATTGCCAGGCACATGTTGGAAACTAATTCCTCCTCTAGTTTTAGAAACCCTGTATTAGATATCATACAATAAAAATAGTAACATTCCCAAATACTTCTAAATTAATCCTTATGTTCTGGTTTCCAAATGTGTATATAACTTCAAAGCCAAAACACAAAAATCAATGTTTGGATAGAAAGATGTTTTTTTACTTTTTTGTTTTAACAGGCTTTTTCTTTACCCTCCCTTTTATAAGACAATTCTCTGATGGACTGTTTATGAAGTCACACTCCGTGGCACCTCAGAAGGTCACAAAGGACTGGATAAGAGAAACTGGCCCAAAGATAGACTATAGCAGTCTCTTTCCTTCCAAAATCCATCAGCTGCTCGTCAACAGCTTTAAGTACACTGGCTTCTGCTATATCAGTAACTGGGATAAAACTAAGAGAGAGGTTTCTGCTTGGAAACCATCTCCTCTTACTTCGTAAAATAGATGGATTAACCATTTACCAATATGAATGCTACAAGGCTCAAGCTAATAGTAGCAAAAAGGTAAGTTATTCATGTATCTAGAGCCAAAGCTACAATCTCACGCTTGCAAAATGACCATACAAAGGCAGCTGCCAGTCTTTTTGAAGCTTAGAGATGAGTCACAATGGAGTCAGGCAATGCCTAGAAGTGCCAGTTTTAAAAAAAAAAAATCTTGGTAGCTCTAAATCTCATATAGAAATTCTTAACCCTTTAAAAGTAATCAAGCCACTTAGCAGAGCACTGCTTCCAGTTCCCAGCCTGAAAATCAAGTGCGACCTACGATCCGGTAGTACTGCACACTTAATTCAAGCCTAAATTAGTTCTTCTAAATATGCTAAGTAGAACTTCCTTGACCCTACTGAAAGTGAAGGTAAAGGCCATGTAAAGTGGATGCTGTTTGCCTGGTTGGGCTCCTGCTAGCCCAGTTTTTCTCATACTAATTGCCTTCTGCTTTGAAGCCTGTTTCATGGAATCAGATTAAGGAGTGGATCTGTATGCATTTCAGCAGGTGAATGAGCAAATGCAATTGTCAGAGGGTGGAAAAACTAAGGGAAAAATAAGAACAAAAAATAACTGAGTGGGGGGAAAAAAGAGAGGGAGAGGTTAGTGAATACGGAGATGAAATGATGGTCTCCCTAATGCAATGTACCTGGGAACAAGCATGGATTAAAGTGCTGCTTCTGCTCAGGAATCAAGCAGTAGGTGACAGCCCAGCTGCTGAGTGGGGTAGTGGTGGTGAACAAAACTATCACTGAACTTCCTGCGCTGAAAGCAGCAGCATGAATGAAAAATCATCCAGTTAATCTTAGAACCTTGTCAGTCCTTTTTCTTGCATAAAAGAAGGTCTATTTGGCCAGCATCACTGATGATCCTCTATCTTCTCCCTCCACCACCACCTTTTTTCTTTGCAGAATGTGAATACTTTCTCTCCAAACAAGCATACAGTGCTTCTACTCTGACATTTACTTGATCACTTTGCTGGGACAGACATCCAACACAACTCTTCCCTCCCCGTCCCCAGGCACAGCTGGAGCTGAGACTGTTTACTCCAGTGGATAATAAGCACATCAGCCCTTTCCAGGGCAGATACAGGCCAAAGTCTCTCTCTCACCCCAGTAGGTAGGTGCAGTGAGAGGGTGTAGTCCTCTGCCAATAGTGCATGTGCCCTGCAGTGCAGCTGCAGTATCCACAGCAAACAAGGGAGTTCATTTGCATGTGTTTAGCTGTTTATATTCCATCAGCGCTACAGAGGCACAAAGGTGTAGTGCACATGCCAGTGTGCATCAGGAGCTGTAAGACCACTGGAAGCACCTGGGCCAAGAACAGCCAGCAACCACACTTGGGGCAGCAATCGGGCTGTAAAAGATGCAGAAGTAGCAAGGGGTGGCCACTAAGGAGATACGGAGTTTTGGAAGGCCAGGCTGAGTCTAGGATTTTAATTCTTTCAATTGTTCTTTGTAATTACAGTTAGTTACAAAAGACAAAAATGATGGGATTTGTACAGACAGTTACTACAGTTCATTAAACAGATATCAAGGGAAGCTGAATACAAAAAACCAAAAAAGACCCCACAAGACAAAAAAATGGAAAACCATATCAATCAACAAAGATAATGTGACCAAGCACAGGCACTTCTTCTCTTCCCCACCCAACAGAGTCAATCGTTATACAACTGTCAGAGTTAAAGCACCACCTTGAAGGACAGAGAACACTGCCATTTGTTGATGCATCCCCCCCAAAGAAATGCATTGGGCCTTTAACCAAAGACATCAGGCCTTTAACTAAAAAAACACCATTGCTCTGCAGCTCCCCAAACTTTGAAGCACTTCTGTTTTCCTTAACATTTTGCTTTTTACTTCAGACAGCTGCAAGTTTCTCTGCTCATTTTGACATCTGCTCCTTTCCTTCCTAAATTCAAACGGACACCAGAAACAGGAATTCTGCCAAACTCTTCCAATGCTCTATCCAGTATTTACTCTTTAGATCACCTACAGCTTGGACAGGGCAGGAAGGAGAAGTTGATAATTGCTCACAAACATCATGGGGTCGGGGGAGAAAGATGGGTGGAGGGGCAGCGGGGAAAGTAAAAGAACAAATTAACATCTAAGCAAGGACCTGGTTCTACATGCCCAGTGCCCTCACCAGCAGTTCAAATCCCTTTCGTGCTCACTTGCTCTCTGGTTTTCCCCCTGCAGAGGCACACACCTTACCATGACAGTAGAGCACTACAGCCTCTATCTTAATGGCTATTGCAAACTTCTGGAGTCTTAGATTTGAATTTCCTCAAGCCTAGTAAACACTGAACTCCAATCAGTCACTTAAACCATTGTCTTTGCTGTTAAAATACTTACTTCTATGCTGCATCGAGAGACAAAGTACCTTATTATCAAGCTCTGCATTGTCCTCTAACAACCCAGAACCAAGAGGGCTGGCAAATGGAACACAATGCCAACCCTTCGGTCACAGAGGATCCCTTTCCCATGGCGAAGGGTCCCATCTTCCAGCAGTCCTTTCTTTGCTCCTAGCCTGTTTAGGATAAACAGCAGGAGGGATGAGGCCGATTAAGAATCAAGCCCCTACTGGCTGGGGTGGTTAGAGGGAGAAGAAAGTGGACCATCAGTGTTGCTAGTCAGATACATCTTATTGCAAGAAAAGAGACATCGGATTCACTCTGTGTTTCCAGTGGATTCTTTCAGATGAGGCTGGGCAGAAGCAGATTCTGCTTCTGGATGTGGGCAACAATTAAGCTTAAAAATTCTGTGCTGGAATGATTCATGTGCCCCAGCCACAGAGAAGGAAGGGATATGAAATGCAGAGGCATCAATGAGGCTTTGTGGCTTGCCCTAGAACAGCCTCCTGACGCTAGCTGGCTTTGACCCTGTCTGAGGCTTTTTTTGGAAATGCTGCCAGAGGCCAAGTGTCTCTGGAATGGAAACCTGAGGGAGGAGTGAGCTTTGCTGAGCTCGATTTTTGCTAACATGCTCTCCAGCTTCATCCCGGTGCTGCTCCTAGATTCGCAGGGAAGTTCAAAAGGGATATGCTGCCTCCTCCTGCCAAGCACGCCTCAGCTTTTATGCAAGATGCAGACACCACAACCTGAAAGAATTTTTACTCCAAATCTAGATGCTGACTGCATGCAAAGTCTTGCCTTTATGAAGAACAGACCATTTCAAGCAGGGCATACATCTCTTACCTCTCGCCCTGGGTACTGCCACCTGAAGTTCACATCTACATCTGGCTCCCCAAGGACTGTGCAGATCACCTGAACACTGTCACCGAGTTGAGCTCTATTGGATGACACCGCAAGTGTGGCTGAGGGTGGGCCCTTGGGAACTGAGAGAAAGACAGTGCTTGGAAAAAGAAAACTGGCTTCTAAAGTTAAATACACTGGCAAAACTGAGAGTCAATTTTTGACTCTGCTTAATGCAACAGGTAAGTGTTTTATACCTGCAACTACACTGGGAAATTGCTGGATTTAAACCTACAATGTTTTATCACATATACTTTTGTTCAAGATGTTAAAAATCTGATACCATTACTTATTTTACTTTTTTTTTATTGTTTTCTTAGCCATGTCAGCAAAAGAGTTAGTTTAAGCATATAGAAAACTGCACTTTACCTTCCACATACAGTAGGTGATATTTGATGGAAATCTGAGGTGCTCCCTGTGACTCTGCTTTGCAGTAGACAATGCCCTTATGATCAGAAGTAGGGTGCTGGTAGACAAAACCCTTTTTTGCATCATAAATAAGATCAGTTCCATCTGTTTCAATTTCTTCTGCTGGAAATTCCCTGTGTAGAGTTACTTTTGCTGAAGGAGTAGTAACACGGCATGGGATGACTGCAGGTTTATCTGGGTTCAAGTAGACAATCTCAAAATAACTGGGAGTAGGTACAAAAAGTTCCTCTTTGTCTGTGCAGAAGAGTTGATATAGTTAAAAAAATATTTACCTCTTGGTTTAACAGAAAGAAAACAAAGTACATGCAACAAGAGAAAATAGCTATGAGCAACATTTAAAGCAAATCTTTTTGGTTTAATTTTTAATATGCACCCACAAAAGGAAAAATCACAGCTTGCATTAAAAACATTAAACCAAAAAGAAAAACAAAGTATCCTTTATTATATCTTCAGACTTTTTTAATCTTAAGAAAAGCTTTGGAATTCCTTTTAATAAATTTGCAAATACTTATCTGGATCCCATCACCCCTGGCAAGATAAGGACTACTAGGAAAAGATACTCTTTGGAGCTACAGACTTTTTATATGTATGCTTTTAGGCAAACTGTTTGATTTATTGCTCTAAGTAGATGAAATATTCAGTGCTTTTAGAATGACAGTTAAGGAGTATTTCCATAATTTGCATGCTTCTTAGAAATATAAAGATGACATTTCTTTCTAGCATGAGCATTTATATAATAACTTGACTGAAAAGTTTATTCCAAAATTTCTAAAGGAATGTATCCCAAAAACATTAAGCAGTTCTGATAATTCTGCACAGTCTCATGGTCTAATTTAGCTCCAAAATGTATGGCAAACAATCCTATCTTAACATTTTGTACTAAAATGTTTTCTAGCCAACAATACTTTGGTTCTACTTGGGATTGAAAGTTGTTTTACATCCCAAATGATTTCCATAAGAAGGTCAAATTCACAATTTGATTTCAGCTCTGTTGTATCAAGTAGCAGTAAACTGTGCACAAGCTCTGTGGGACAACACACGTACTTAAAGAGTGTTTTGTCTCTCAATGTGCTATACAGACTCCTGGGAGAAGTTGTGGCCTTACCAAGGTCAGTGAGATCAAGACTTTTAAGCCAGTGCAGGTAACTGGAAAAAAGTGGTGGGGCAGGAGCCATCTGAATGCCATGACAAAATGAATCTTCTGCACAGATTTATTTTCTTTATTGAGACCCATTTTCAAAAGTTAAACATTTTTATATTCATTTGATAGAAGCTCCTCTGAAAGTCTGTTAACTATTTTCAAAGGTGTTTGCTTTGCTTGCATTATGCATTACTTTGGGTATATGTCTTGCATAATCCACAGGGAAAATGGACCCAATAAATCATACTAAGCAAGTATATTCTTGCTGTCTTCCTTAACATCCACTAAAAAAAGATGAAAATAGCGGAAGTAAAATCTTGACAGTGAAATCGCTGATGTAGCTTTATTTCTGTCTTACTAGCAAATATACTTTCACTAATAATCCCCCAGGAGTTAATTACCTGTGAAAAAGATGTACGTTGAGCCTGTTTTAGTCTCATCCTTCCTACATTTGTTACCATTGCACAGCTGAAGCCAGCAGCTGTATTCACCTGTGTCTGCTGCAGTGGAGTTTGCAAGGATCAGCTGACCATACCTTTCAAGCTGCTTTATACTGCAGAGAAATAAAAACAAAAGGCACAGACAAGCACAGATGTATCTCCTTATACATTTCTGTCAGCTCAGTTCTACTTTTGATTTTATATTCCTACTCTGCAACTGACCTACCTTTCAAAGCTCTGTTGCAGCTTCCCCTTTTGCTCCAGCCAAGACCTGTTTTTTCACGATTTTAACTACACACGAGAGCTCGCAAGTGTTTTTGTCTTGTAAGTTAACTTTTGGATTCTTTTCAGTCCCCATTTTTTAAATGGGCTGTGACTGTATGTTTTATGTCTGTTTGTCTACATATAGCCCTTTTTTTCATGCTAAAAGTCAACCTGCATGCATCTCAGTGTTTTTTTAATACCATTAACGGTAGCACTGCTTCAATACATCTAACAAAGATAATTCATGAGAAATAAACAGCCAGTACTTTAATAAGAGTTTGTTTAATGATTTATGCCTGCTTTCAGGCTGAATGCTTTACCAATCTTTAACATACTGCTCCAAGTTTCCACTTACAAACATCATCATTTAAGAGCTTCTATCTCAGCTTGGATTTGTACTGCAAGGAAGTCATTTTGCACTACCTGCTCCTCTTCCCTAAGCCACCTCACTGGCATCCTCTCACTGGAGTTTCATCATCACCCCTCAGCTATTTCAGAGCACAACCCTGAGAAGTGCTGGATGGGTTCTGGCAGTGCCATCATGTAACTACACAAAATTCAGTCTGTCTGATTATTTCAGACTTCATTTGCTTTTTTCTCTTTCTCTTGAATTTTCCAGGTATGTCTCTCAATAGACTGGCATTTTTAAATGTACAACTATTTATAAATATGTAGTAGATATATATGTAGATACTGCCAATGTTTCTGAGGGTTAAAGGTCCTATCTATGAAATACAGCAGCTACAGCCTCATCTTGTTCTTTTTTTATATTTCAAGGTTTGCTTTCCTGGCTCTTTCTTGCAGATAGATGGTGTTATAGTTGGCAGTCTGCTGTGTTGACTTTTGATGGATAGCAAAAGCAATGTCCCAACAGAACCAGTTCTCAGGAAACCCTGTCAGCATAGCCATGTGGCAGTACTGATGCATTCCAATGCTGCTCTGACCCTTAAAAAACATTCTCTTCAGTCACCTGCCTTTCATGGTAGTACATCCAGAACATGAAAGGTTCCCTATTTCCTTTGCAAGACATCAAGTCACAAGGTCATTTCTTTTCTAAGCAAGTCAGGAGTGATTTTTCCAATTTTAGGCATTTCATAACTTCTTTTTATTGTTTCAAATTGGATTTAGACAAATACACAGCTTGCATGAAATCTGAACAGCTCTCATATTCATTCAACTGTGGATTCTGTTAATATTTATTATCCTCTTATTTCTTCTTATTAATGCAACAATTATTCTGTAAGACAGAATCATTTCTTTCTGGGATAAGCATGCTTTGAAGAAATTCTTATCCTCTAAAACCCCTCATCACTGAGTAACAGCAGCACTGTAGACTTGCCTGACTGTACTGTATTCTCTAAATGCTCTGTTTTGGTTAACTCTCCACTGCAGGCAGAATAACTGCTTAAACAGGGAGGCTACCACTTCCAGCTACATGTGCTTCCTGAAATTTCTGACTCCCTGGAGGTGTTCTGCTAGCAGTTTGCACAACTATCAGCAATCATAGCCAATGGTTCATGCAACCCAACATTCAGCCTCCAGTCAGGCCGGAAGCTTAGAAATTAAAAGCAGACTAAATACACATCCCAAACAGAGCTGAGAATCATCTTTTCCATTAAAGGCTTCAGACCCTATTACTACACAGATCCACCACAGGGCATTTTTGAAGCCTGTCTAAAGAACCAGACAAATCATGTTTCCTACAGGGTCATGTGCTTGTCCTACATGGCCTTGCCTGATTTCACTGCTTGGAATCGTGTAATTATGTAATCATGTAATTATAGTGCAGTAGCATTTTCATTTTTAATACATACACTACTTACATTATAAATTATCTGGAGTTTATGGATAAGTTTTGAGAGATTCCTATTTCTGCAAGAGATCCTGCTGTATATCATACCCAACAGGAAGAAGAGGGAAATCCAAAACATGTCCTAGTCTGTATTATTATTATTTAGTTTCACAATTCACATTTCATAGGCTATATGACTACATCAGCATAAAATGTTTTGAAGTGTGGAGTACTAAATGTCAACATTACAGAGAAACCTTTATGCCAGAACATTTTTGCCTCCTTTTGTTAATGCAGACCCTGAACTATAGCTCAAAATCCCAACAGACAGAAAAATAAGGTCAGAGTTAATTAATTATTGTACACTGTGTTCTACTTAGGTGAAAACGAGCTATCCAGTACTCAATGGAAATAGCCTAGCAAGGTAGTCATCCACAAACATGCACTAATGAAACCTGGCAACTGAGAGTGGGAGTGTTGAAACTTGTGACACGACCATATTAAGCAGACAAAACAGGCCATATAAAGTAAATTACAAATGGTAAATCCTGCAGCCGACCAATATTTCCAGAATAACTTTTATTTCATTAGTATTTTAGATGCAAGGAAATGTGACTCAAAAGCCAAAACTTTGCTGTGCTGTAGATATCACAAAGTAAAAATGTTGTATATACAAACATTCCAATATTTTTTAAAGAAAGTAGAAAACTAGTCCAAAATCTTATTCCATAAATTCATTTTATTAAGCTTTAGTTATCTGAAGCTCAGAAGATCTTTGCCAGAAAACTATGCCACGTTTAGAAGCTAAAAAAAAGATATAAAAAGACAGTATACACAGCATCACTCAAACAACATCTAACAAACTCCTCTAAAGCAGGTGCATTCATACTGACAAAAGAGAGCTTATCTCAAACACACACTCACTAGGAGAAGAACATAACATCTTACTGTTTTACACAAAAACCCCAACCCTAGCTTTCAGACTTCAAAGCACAAGCAGCAAAATGAAATTCAGTTATACACACGAGCACAGCCAACTCCCACTAGGCCATTCACTGAAAGCAGTGTAACTTTGCCCTCTACAACATTCAGTTTCCTCAGTATTTTTGAGAGCTCTCCTGTCCAGACACACTCTGCTTACACAAATGTACATGTGATGTATGTCCAGCTCTTTGCCCCGGCTTCCCCCATTAGAGCAGTTCCATTTCGTGGGACTTTACTTACCAGATTAAGTTCTCTGATAAATACAGCTGGTCTTCACCAAGTGAGAGACCCATGCTCCAGGTCAGGCAGAGCAGAGATTATGTATAGTTAGACTGCCTTTTTCCTATAAAGCATAGGAAAAGGAAAATGTGCTTGCCCTTATTTTTTCTTTCATCACTTTCATGCATTGTAGATCCAGTTTCTGGGTGAGCCTACAGTCATTAATTTGTTATGTACAGTCTTACAAAACAGCATTCCAGCCCTTCCATTCTGGAGGTGTATGAGCTACCTTTGACCATTAACACCACCAATATTTTTGGCCAGTTCAGCCAGTACACAAGATTTTCAGACAAAAAGTGTATTGATGCTATATAAAGCAAGAGAGCATTACAGATAATGTAAGGTGGTCGTGAAGCAAGCTAGTGTGTATCCTTAACCTAAGCACCATGTTTGCACGATTCGAGCTTTCTCCCCAGAGTTGTATTGCGTGCTACAGTCTCTAAAGCTAAGTAAATCATTTCAGTGTGCACTGTTATTTACTCCAATTAGAATAGTGGAAAGGCAGAATTTCTACTCTATCTCAACAAGAAACAGCCAAAGAGCCCTCCTCCTTTCACTCTGCATCTTCCCCTCCCTTGGATATGGTAATTTTAGCACCTGTTAACAGCTCCAGACCTATTAAAAACTGAGTACAGCAAGCAAAAATATTTTACTTACCAGGTTGTAAAATATAGCTACAAAGACAAATTCAAAGAAAGCATAGCCACTAATATTACACAAATGGCTTCTTTCATTATAATCTTCCTTCTTAGAAAAGGTATATTGCCTTCCAGGTTGCTGTATTCTCCTTACTATATGGGTAAGTTAAAAATGTGGTAAGCATGGGATGGAGGCAAAACATTTCGCTTTTATCTCTACTTATTTCTGCAGCTACCTATAGGAAATATATTACATGGATGGTAAATTTAACTAGTTGCAAACCAAAATGCCAGATCAGCTGAATTTGTACATCTGTCCTACTATTTAAAGAAAAAACAGGAACTGGGTGCCTGAGTATCTGTTGCTATAGGGATGTACAAATGAATGAAAGAATTGTAGTCATTAGTCCCCAGCAATTGCATGGATCTCATCACCATTGTCACTCTTCCTCATTTTTCATCTGGCATGCCAAGCTGCTCTTTCTTCATTTTCCATTACCTCCTCATAACCCTATCACTTTGCCTTGCTGCTGCCATCAATTCTGGTTTGCACCGGTGCCCCATCTCCAACAAGATCTGCATGGTAATCCAAGGTAAAAAAGCCCAGCCCAGTTAATTAGCTTGGGCTTCAACCCACACCTCACTCACTAACTGGTAACGAAGGGATTACCTTATACTTGGTATTTAAGTACTCAAAAAATGTTAGAAGATACTGGGCATATACCTACCTAGATGATTAACCAATTTTTGCTGTAGGTTATTTGATAATTATTTTTCTGACTTCCTCCCTTTGTCCTACATTCATAATTTTGTTTTAAAATAATGGAGGTAATATATAAATAACATTTTAAAATTTACCAATTGCAGTTGGTGGTTGGTGTGTGGTCTTGCATATGCCATGAGGAAGATCTAAACTCCCTTTCAAAGATGATAGTAATTGTTAAGCTTTTCTGCTGCCAGCTAACTTAAAAACACTGCCAACTGAGCTAACTAAATAACAGGTACCCCTCTGGTATTTCCAGTTAAATCAATGCTTTCTAAAACCACAGAACATAAATTTCAAATTTCACATTCTATAAAGCAGACTTTGTTTCATATGCATCTATGAGCACCACAGCAAAGAACTTGAGATAATTACCAAAGTCCTGATAAAATTGTGATGGCAAATATAACTGCATAGGATTATGTGGTCAATGTCTCCATAAATTATTACTATTCTGCGACTCTTAAATCTGCTACTAATCCATGTTTTCAATTTCTCTAGTTAATTTTAGGATCTTCCACTTGCATTCAAAATTGTTGATTCAGTCTAACACAGCCTTACTGCTTCAACAACTTGAAATTCAAAATAATTTTTAAAGCAGTGATCATCATTTTTCAATACAGATCCTTAAATATATGCCTTAAATAACCCTAAAAGAAAAGAAATACTTAACCAAGTCATATCCATCCAGCCAAAATATTTTATAGCATTTATTTTGTGTGACGTTATTAACTTTTGTTGTATGGCTAAAATCTTACAAATACTGTAAACCTGAGTGAGAGCAGAAAGATAAATTGCTGAGGCAACAGAATCGCAAACTACTTCAAATTGAAAAACAGAAAATTGCACAATCAGAAAATATGTATCTTTGTTTTTCCCTAAGTTATCTTAAATTCTTGCACTTTCTTCCATGTGCATCAATTGAAAAACTTAATTTTGCAGGAGAGGAGATTCCTCTCCAAATAATCTGAATACGTGCCCTGCCTTCTTCAATGCCAGATGCTGATACCCAGATAACATGACCTGGAGGTCTACAGAACCAAACCATGCCACCAACTTATTTGTAAGTGCACAAAACGTAAGATACACTTGGGAACAATAACCACCAAGTACACACACACGCTCCCTGTTGATTTGCACATACAGCTCTGGCTTGCTGGGAGGCCAGGTCTGTACTGCGGCTGATAAACGCCACCTACTGAAATAAATCCAGATAGAACAGCATTTCTTGCCAAAGAATAAGCAGTAGTAGTTTAAATTGGCCACAAGATCCTTTGAGAGGTATTGCTGTGATAACCTCGCAGCAAGAACAGGGTTGCTGCTGTGATAGAAGCCTTGCACTCAGCCAGGGTAGTTCTTGAGCTCTACAGCAAGGGACAAGCAAATAAATGCACAGAGAAGAACTGCTTCATGAATTTCAAGAGGATATCCCAGAGATCACAGCGTATAACTCTTCAGCACTCCACTTCAAAAAGAGAAGTGGAAAGGAGAAGAAAATATCTGAAAAATTAATTAACTGGGAATGATTTAAAGGTAGTATCACATCAGTAAATAAGAAATGCATCACTGAGATGTAGATAACCTGAGTTATTTACAGAGAACATACACACTTGTACTTAATTAAGGAATAAAAGGACAATAGCAGCTGATACCTTTGCTCATAACTGTGTCTCTCACCGAATAATCCAAAAAAAGCTCCTTGCAGCTCTTTCTTAGGGTATCATTCACAGTGCTTCACTGTCTCCTCATGTAAACCTCCATAAAACAGCCAGTGAAAACAAACAGAACTCAAGGTAAAAAAATGCCTGTGGAAGACATCCTTAAGCTCCTTATATGCTCCTCTTCTCTCAAATACAGAACAAAATTATTGCATTTAATCTACATTTAGCTATGTGTACTATCCTCAAAAACTGGGAAGGTACACAAATATATGGGGTTTTAGAAAAGATGTTTAGAGCAACAGGACACTCAGCTGGCGGAGCAGAGAAAGGAAGAGTCCTAAGTTCCTCTTCCTGTGGTAACAACTACTTATGTGGTTTTCATTATGATGTCACTAGATGAAATAAAAAGCTTTACTAAACTCAAGGTGACTATATTCAGCATTAAACTCTGCCACACCACAAACCCTGCAATTTCCTTTTCCACACAAAGGCAACTTTGACTGAAGAAGTAACGACTACCTCTCGCTTTCTTCTTAGCATGGAGGCTGGTGTATTTTTTGCTAGTTAAGGGAGGGTGGGTTTGAGTCTCTTCAGGAAATTAATCTTAGTGTCTCAGGTGGTAGCCACACTAGCAACCATTACAGCCTACCAGGAGCAAGTCTCTGCAGAGCAACAGAGTAGGCTGGTAGTGAGTACTTGATATTCACACTCACACATTTTGAGAGTTTTACTTCAGATCAACCCTAACTTGGTTCCCTGCTGCCCCCGTGTCCTGCTGAACACCATCTTTATTTTAGACTCATCTGAAGGAAATACAGTTAATGTGCTGTAAGACTACTCTACAGTGCAAATCACAGGGCAGTAATTAGTGACAACTAAAAGTTGCTGTAGTGGTTTGAACTCATCCTTTTTCGTTGACATTAAAAATCATTAGATAGAATATCTTAATTGTAAAAATGTAAACAAACAAAACCTCCGATGGTCCTGAAACTCGTAGGGAAAAGAAAAGTTCTGGATGGTTTTTTTTTCCTCCAAAAAAAGAAAAATAGCTTACCTGAGTCTGGAGTCTTTAAAGGTGTCTAAATATGAAGGGTAGTTCCAAGTAACATTACTCCCTTTACATCGCAGTTCTATGCTTTGTCCTGCAGACAGGCTTAAAGTGGCAGCCAATTTCTGGATACGACCTTTATCCATCACCTGTGTCAGTATGGACTGGGACTTCAAAGAGGAGTCAGCAGATTCTCTCTCCTTCATTTTGGGAGTTTTGGGTTTTACTTTTTTGTTAAAAACCTTGTTTTCCCCGTGTTCTTTTGGACGCTTACTCTTCGCAGGCTGTCCAATAACTTGTAAAATAAAGAAAAGAAGACAATGTTACCAATTAGAAAAAAGTTATATAGTCCTTTTCCAAAAAAAGATCTTCCTCATTATCACAGAGAATAACTGAAGTTTTGTTCTTCCTAGAAAAGATTCATAAAACTCAGTAAGAGTTTATTTCCATAAGTTTTTGAAGTCTCTGCCATGACCCATTTTCCTGGGGAAAAAAAGAGCTTTCAACAACATGTGGAAAGTCTATACCTATAGTTACATAAACAGACAAATATGTAAGGTATGAAAACTTCACAAGTGGTAAGGGAAAGAAATACAGCATTTCTACCTCCATTTACTTCTGTCATTTCTACCCCATGGCACTGCCATGCTGTACAAAAGGCTACACAAGCTCTCTGTCTTTCATGTCACACACCCATCAATTCTGCATTGCCTTTTCACACACCATGCTACCATAGTGGACACATGAAGAAAAACTGGCAAGGATGGAACTTTGTGACAATTTATAAAATACTGTTAGTGATGCAGTTTTCTTCTTTTACAGTAAGTACTGTGAAATGCAAATGACACCAGAGTCACTTGAAGGTAGTATTTAAGTCATCACTTCTCCGTAACAGCCATTTATTTTGACAGTGCAGCTGAAAATAGAACTTAGATACAAACAGTAAGAGATTTCATTACCTCCAAGATACAACAGGGATGCCCAGCTGCCTTTAGAAACAAAGGAAACAAAGAAAATGTGAGGTGTCTCAAATTTAAAAATAAATAAATAATTCAATAAAAACCAAATTATCCCCACTTTAAGTGACATCAGAAAGCACAGCCCTTTGGTGAAATGAGCCTAAAACTCTGGTGTCCCCAGACACCAGAAACTTCACTAACTGCACCTGATAGCTAATTCTTGTTTTCCACATGGAAATGCTCAGGTATTTTATTGTACAAATCAATTAACAAGCTCCCTCTGGAATTAAAAACAGCCCTGCAGTATATACTCAGTTAGCAGAAATTAAAAATGGTACTGGCTGCCAGCATGAGCAGCAGGACTTCCAAACACCTGCCACTGTTGGCTCCCATGACATTCCTCAAACCCCAGTTGGACACCTTGCACTGCTTCAGCCTTCTAAATGCAGGCTGATATACAACATGTCTCTTTCAAATGGCACAGAGCCTTGCAAGCACAAATTTAAAGTCCAGGACATTCCTGCACTTCTTTCCTGCATTACATGAGAAAGGCTGCAGTGGGTCAGGCCAAAATTATTTGCACTGACACCACCTAGTGTCAGATGCCAACCAGGGAACAGGGCAACCATCTCTGCTCCTTCGATACTAGTCTCCCAAGCTTCCAAGAACCCTTTAGGTCAAGGGGTCTGTGAACCACAGTAGTCATCATTTTATTGTCCTTGGCTGTTATTATTATTTTGTACTTTTGTATTTTATTGTCCTTGGATGTTTTCCTTCATTGATTTGTCTGGTCAATTTTCAGAATCACGAACTAAACATAAATATTTGATGCCTCCTAGTTTTCGTATTAAATGAATAAATATCCATTGTTTCTCCAACAACATTCTCTGAGGCACTTGCACTTTTACAAAACTTGAGTGTTTTTGAAACATATCCTTTCCAGACTTATATGTCCTACTCTATTTAACTATTCCTTGTAAAGGATATGCATCTCACAACAGTTCAGCTACACCACGTTTGCATAACAGAAAGAACACAAAAGCAGACAGTACATCAGGTTCAAGACACAGTCAAACCACAGCTGTACATACTAATGGTGTCTTCCTTCCTGTATAAACAGCTCATTAATTTTCAAGATGAGTAATACTAGGAGCTGACTTTCTCTAGAATAATCAAGTGTAACTTCAGTTACACTGTCCTAAGTAGGAATTATTTGTTAGAAATACCTAAGTAGGAACCCATCAATGTGTATATGAAGTTAGAATCATTTGTGTTACTTAGCATCTATCAACACAAAATTTCAAGTACAATTTTCACTGCCCAGTCTTTCAAAACTGAGTATATCCTAAAATCATGGCACTCAAACACTGTTTATGTTGTTGATTTTCTCTAAAGCTGATTCTTTTGGCATATTAATGAGACATCTCTAATGATTCTCACCATAGAGAAGGATTCTGTCTCAGAGTCTGCACTTACAGTGCTTGGTAGGATACTGCACTGAAAGTTTCTGCTATGCTTATCATGTCACCATTTTCCATTGAAACCTTCCTAAGCACCTCCATAGTGAACATTGGTGCACACAAATAATTAAGTTTTTAAGTTTTACTTTCTACAGGTGTTCTTTCTTATTCCCCATTTCTACCAGCCCTACAAATTCTGTGGCCACCTCTCTATACCCCACCCCAGTACCTCAGAAGAAGAAAAGGATTTATGGCTGGGTTTATCCCTTTTGTAAGCTGTTTCTCAAACTCTTTTTGTCTGCTTTATTCTGGGTTTTATATCTAACCCATATGTGAGTTCAGGAGCCTTCTTGTCTTATGTAATTCCCCCTTCCAAAATTAAATGAATCAGTCATTTCTTTGGCTTTTATTATTCCTGCAAGAATATTAAAACTACAGTCTGGCTGCTCTACAGTAACATCTGAATCCAATTACCTGAATACTACTCCGGATCAACTAAAAAACTGCTGCTTTTCTCAGGGCCTCTTCAAGTAGCAGCTCTAAGTCATCATCATTTGTGGCATCTAAACAATTGCACTGTGCATCACACCCCGACGTGTGTGATCCAAACTACATTAGGGAAAGTAATTCTTCCTTTTGCTTTTCTATCCAGTTCTTGCTGACCCTCTGATTTTCCTTAACAGAGGCATCATTACACATTGGGTGGTCAGTTATCAGGTTGTTTATTCTCCACAGGACTGGTATTTCAGTCCAGATGACTTTTACTGACAAAACCCACCAGGAATCAGACTTAACACTAAATATTTCTTCAATACTTCTCCTTTGGGTTGAGTTATTCCATCTTAGTGGAATTCCATGGCAGCATTGTGCCCTAGTACTAGAAGGTCCCACCAACAGGCCTGATAAGCCTTTTGGATGAGCATTCCCATTTCAAACTGGACATTCCAGTTCCTTGTTGAACTTTCCAGTTTTGTCTGTAGAAGAACACAAGCTCTGGTTCAGCCATCTTTTTTCTTTTTTTTTCCCCATCAAACCCTATTGATATAGGACTATTTGTTCAAACTACTCTTTGCCAACCTCAGTCCTGACACTATTTCAAAGGCACATGGATCTTGCAACCTCACCCCAAGGAAACGCTTCATCCCACACTGTGTGCTGTGCCACATCTGATACTCTGCCTTTAAGAAACTGCTAAAGACTCCCCTACAAAAGCTTTTCAATTTTAAGTGCCAGAAGCCTGGTTTTGATTTGTTTTGATGAAGTTTTTTCTCTCCACACAAGCTTCCTCTGTTCCGTGCTTCTGTAGTTACCAGTGAGTCTGAACACTTTCCTCCCATACCACACTCCCAGCTGCACAGTGAGATCCTTGTCTGTCTGACCTTGTATTTCCCTGCAAGAAATGCCCTGCAGGGGCGTTTCAGGAAACACCATCAGAGGAGTTTTTATCTTTCTACACAGAAAACCTAGTTCTCTGCTGCACCTCCCAGGAGGTGAGTTTCCAAGCAAACTGTGGCAAGGCTCCTCCATAACACTCCCTTATAAGCCTGGCCAGATATCTAGTGACACCACCACTTCTGCACCTCACAGTCCTGCCTTCTGTCATCACTCAATTAAGTATCTGTATGCCAGATAACTAAACTGCTACAGTATCACCTAAGATAGAGGGGACACACAATCAAATCCCTCCAAAAACGTAGAAACCACTTCCAAGATTCCTCTATTTCCTTGCCCAACCTGCAAGATTTTCCCAAGAAAGGGAACAAACTCAACTATCCCATTTATGCAAGTACATGAACATGCCATTTTGGGTTACTTTACCATTTCACTATATTGATGCGCAGAGCCCTCACCATTTTAATCCAGCAACAACATTTCTTACTAAAAAAGATAATGAAATTAAGACTTAGAAAAATATTGAGAAAATGCCTCGTTTCTACCTCTGATCAGCTCCTGTCAGTTCTAAGAGGCACTGTACTAATTTCCTCTGCAACAGTGCATTCAGGGTCTCTACTAACTCATCACGCCAGAGTAGGAGACTAAGCACTGGTAACTCACAGAAATACACCATGAGGCACTTTTGCTCCTGGCTCACAGCATTGTCCCATTCTATCCTTTAATGTTTGTCTGCCCCTTGTTCTCACAAATGTTACACATAACAATTCCAAAATGGGTGTTAGTTATATAATCCTAAAGAGCATCCATTTTTCATTTGAGACATCACCTATATCCACATGCACATTGCACTGGCCCCTGATCTTCAAGGGTCCACCTAGAGAACTTCAGAGGCAGAGAGTGAGCAAGGTCTCCCACAAGTACAAAGAGATTGTGTTCATTGTCCCCTAGACATACCTATTCCACAAGGCGGGTCCCGTGCTACGCTTTGGCACCATCAGAGATCAAAAAACCTCTCATTAAGACTGATGAATTCTTCCAAAATCAAGTGTAAAGTTACCATAAAGTCTAATTCCTAAACACCAAGACTAAGACAAGAGGGAAGAAAGTGTATTTGTGATCACAACTAATGTAACAGAACAGTTATTCTGAAGTTACAATGTCTAGATTAGTATTTCTACCTCTACCTTTAGACAAAAAAACTGTTATTATATGTGCTAGTTTACTTTCTGACTGAGTGAAGCACCCAGTCAAACCTCAGTATAAACTGAGGAAAACACAGACTTGGGAAATCTTTCACCCAGGTTCAAGTCCGTTCTTATTCTGCATTTTTATTGTCTTATTTCTCAAACAGAAAACACTTTTTTTGATGTGGTGGTGCACACCCCTAGACCAGATCTTTCAGCAGAAATTCACTCCCACAGCACTCTGGTCCAGAGTGCAATTCCTTAGCACGTAGTCATGAGAAAAACTGGGCTGGAAAGGGCTTTCTGCAGGTCCCCTCCCATCTCTGTTCAGCTGCTCTGAGCCTTGTCCAGTTGAGCTGCAACTTTCCCAAGTGCTGGAGACTCTACATCTCCCCTTTCAGTGCTAAACAGCTCCCAGGGTGGAGGATTTTTTATGTTCTTACAAGACTTTTTTCCCATATGACCTCCTGAACAACTTGTGGTAACTGCTTCTCTGTCTTTCCCCGCGCACCTCAGAGCCTGCCTCCCATTTCTCTACAAACCCTTCCACGGGCTACGGCAGCCCGTGATCCCAAGCCCTTCCGCGGTAGAAAACAATGGAATTTTTCTGCTATTGATTCTTCTGGATAAGTATTAAGAATTTTATTCACATTTTTCAAGAAAAAAACAGCATCTCTTTTGTCTAGTTAACGTCTACGTAAGTCAAGCGCTCGTTGTGAATGTCCCTTCCCAGTCAAGCACTTGCCTCTCCCCATCAAGACTTCATCACAACCTGAAACGGGATTATGAGAAAAGTTCGGTGCTCTCTACAAACGAACAACCGTGCACGAAACCTTTTGTGTTTGTTTTTCAAATCAGTGCTGGAGGGACGTCCAGCACTGTCCCTCGCCCAGGGCTGTCCCTCCCCGGCGCCGCACGGGACCGAAGCGCGATTTAAAGGCGGACCCGGAGGGAGCGGGCGGCGGGGACAGCCGGGGAACCCACACTTCGGGCAGAAAGCCCGGGCGGAACGCTGTCCGCCACCGCCCCTGAGATGGCTCCCGGTCCTGTCCCGGGGACAGTCGGCGCGGGGGGACGACAGGAAAAAGGAGAGTCCGAGGCGACTGGCAAGGTGTGGGGACGCGGCGGGGCGGGGGCTCACCGTGTGGCAGCGCTTCCTGCAGCAGCAGCAGCAGCAGCAGCGGCAGGCTGTAGGAGCACCAGGACCCGCATGCGGGAGCGGCCGGGGCGCTGCGCTGAGGGGCGGGCGCGGGCCGCCGGGGCCGGGGCCCGGGCGCCTCGGCGGGGAGGGGCCGGGAGGAAGCGGAGGAGCCGGAGGGGCCGGGGGGGCCGGCGCTCCCACGGGGGTCCCGCTGCTGGAAGGGCCGTCGGCGCTGTGCTGCCCGGGGGGCCGATGCCGCGAGCTCTCTTCGCTGAGAACCCCATGTTCTGAGCAGAGCTGCACCCTAGACACGCTCGACCTCGGGGGCACCTGTAGAGCGTCACTGCTCGCAGCGGCTCTGCACGCGTGGCTCTGCACAGCGGCAAAGCTCTGGGCTGCCTCCGGGCCCGTAGCTGGCTCGGCAGAGGGGAGCGGGGCAGCGAGGGCTGTGCAGGTGGTGCCACAGGTGACCCTGCAGGTGCACGTCGGGCCTAAGACAGCAAGAGTACGTTTTAAGTCAAACTATTGCACTCATACCAGCCACAGCAAAGAGACTCCCAGTAGCTCAGGAAAAGCTGCCTCACAGTGGAAAACAGAGGAAGTATCTATGTTCCCATTTGGGGCTCCATGGTCCATGACAATTTTCATGGATGCCTGTGTGAAGCACACTGAGAAGGTGTAGGCATCTCTTCACTACTTAGAGATGAACGTGATAAGCTTGACATTTGCAGCGTGTGTGTTTATGCTCACACTGGGCTGTCAAAAACTGTTTCTTGAAATTTGAGGGTTTCCTTGGAGGAGAAGGGAGCAGAAAATATGACTGGAGGGGTCACAAAGGTAGATACAAAGCAAGGTGAAGACACTTGAAGGGGGGAAAAACAATGGCTGTCAGAGATCACAAGTCTGAACTGTAGTAGACAAGACCACAGTTCAGTGTGAATAAAACTAAACAGGGAATGGTGTCCCTGGCCGCAGCTCCATGGCCATAGCAGATGTGAGAGTAGAACAGCTACAGACCTTGAAGGAAGCAGAGGATTCATCTGCATACACACACACACACACAAAGGATATGCTGCCCTACTCTCATAAATACACAGACATGCAGAGTTTGGATACCTGCTTGCCTGAGCCTGCTCCAAGACTTCACCTGGGGTAGTTGGTTAGTGTAAAAAATCCAGTAGGGCCCAGGTGTGGAGTAAGATGATGAAATTTCATTATTTCTTTTTCATTTTATTATCGGTATATCCTAGACTTGTTGTCCATTACCTGTAGCAAATTAAGAAAAATACTTGGTTTTTTTTGCTACAGGATATTTTAAAAGTCTTTCCCCCTTTAAACAGTTAGAATGCCATCAAATATTATATTCTGAAAAGGTTATCAGTCTTTGTTTTAAGGTAAATGAATCTCAGAGATAACTCAGAAAAGATGTGTAGTATAAACTGCAAATTTGCATTTGGAAATATTAACAGTTCCTGCTTATGATGAAGAGTGGGCTTTTTTCTTTCATCTGCAAAACTGCTATTTGCAATTCTGATGTGCCTTCTTAGGTCAAATATCCCTTTTTCTTTCATACATGGGGTAGGTCAATAATCTAATGGTGTCTGAGCTCCACATATTAGTGTATTTTGGAAAACATGGTAATAGCACATGGAAATAACACTCAGACTGCACTAATTTTAAGACATATTTAAACTGACATATACCTTTTTCCTATGTAGATATATGCAACGAAGGAGGAAATGATTTTATGAATTTTGTTTCCTAGTTTTAAATGAGTATGCGTGAAAAACCAGCCACATTTTCATTTATTGCCATCAGAACTAATGTAAACCTACATGTAATGACCCCAGTTCTCCACAAGAGTAAGCCAATAGCTTAAATACATCTTTTCAAGTAAATGTTTTAAATGTGATACTTGCGGAATGACTCTAGTCCTCATTTAAATCAGTGGCCCTGTTCCCACTGCTTCATGGGGCCAAGATTTTCAAGACCAGTCTTAGTAAGTCTGTATGTACAATACAGACTTACATGACTATTAATAATTTGAAAACTTCATGAGGAATTATATAAGAGTTGCAGTATACCTCTGAAAAAATCCAGTCATAACGCCTCTTAAGTCTGTGAACTAAGATGATTACCCAAATGTCTCTAAAAACAGTGCGGAGAATAAGCTTGCTTGGCAGTGGGGTTCTCATTGTCAAGGCTATCATTATCCATTGCCCAGACACATGCTTTTATTCTCTTGCTATACCCACAGTACTATCCAAAGTTGAGGAAGGTTTTGGGGTTGGTTTGCTTCAGGTTTTTGGGGGAGTTGGTGTTTTGTTTTTGTTGGGGTTTTTTTTTGCTGTTTTGGTTTGCTTTTTCACAAAAAAGGGAAAAAGGAGACAACAATGAGTTTGCTTATCCAGCTTTGAGGTTGGGTGGATACCAGGAAAATGCTCCGTGCTTCAGAAAGTTGAGCAGCATGAATGCTGAGGGCTACTCACTCCCTCTGGAAATCAAACCTAACATCATCTCTGGCTTGGCACTGTAACACAAGATGCCTAAATTAAAGGGTGTTATTCTCTATTTCAGTGACTTCTTCAGTGCCTTGAAGCAAGCAGGAAACAAAGATTGCTACTATCCTCATCTCCAGACCGTCCTCATTTAAACATAAAATGTGGTTGTGTTTTCCCCTCTATAAAAATGCATACAAATTATCATGTTATTTATTTTAAATGTTCTATGATTTGTATAATGTCATGACATTAGATATCTGGAATACTAATGTTTTGAATTCATTATATTATTTTAGTGTTAACTAAAACTATAGTGGTGTTTAAAGTTACAGTTGTTGTATGAAGTACATACAAGTGACATTCAGCTTTATTTAAAAAATATGGAACAAATACACAATTTTTATCCCACAAAGCATATTTTACAGTAAATGAAGAGCAATGCAATTTTCATCAGAATTTGGAACTAAGGTAACTAAAAATGTCACTGATAACAATTCTATTGTAAAGTGGGGAAAAAAGCACCATATTCTTAAATATAAGCATTTTTACATTCATAAAAATTCAAAACTTTTTTCATTTTGGTAGAGCACTTCAAAGAAATAAAAATTTGTAGTTTAAGTTGCATCATAATCATCTTATCAACATTTTAAATGCTCAGCAGCACATAATATAGAAATAATCACTAAAATGTACATATGAACAAAAAGGAAAAGTTAAAATGGATATGAATGCTAATGTTTTTTTAAAGTGATGCACACATAACTGTTTTTAAAGATATGAAACACATATTTCACGCTTTACTTTCTGGTAACACGAAAGAGAAAAGCCCTCCTAAATATAAAAATCTTGGTGAAGCTGGAGTTTACCTGGCAAAAGGCTCATGAAACATAGAAAGACAATAGAATTTGTCCAACTGAAAATTTAAAAAAAAAAATAAAATATATATATATACATAGTTCTGCATGTCAATGCACAGCAATCCTTCAACTTAGCTAATGTTAGGGAGTTTGATTTCTAAAATCAAATGGAAAATAGATCAACACATGGTAAAGGCATTATATTTAGCTTTGGAAAGGTCCAACTATTAAAAATGCAGAGGTCCTCAAAACATATACCTGAAAGAAATACTAAAGGTACAGGAAATTAAAAACAAATACAAATATCCTATACCATATGAAATACCTCCTGCTTTTTCTGTAAAATATATATTTGCTTAACACTGAGTAACCTCAGTGCTTTCAGTGAACATACTGCAGTTTGTACAAACTTCCTAGCAAGTCTAGGAAGAATTAGGGCCCAAGAGCATTAAAAAGGTGCTTTTGTTTTCTTTTTTATGCACTCAAGTAACACATGCCAGCCTTCTTGTGAATTTAATTCCTACCGTAAAAAATGCACCTCGATGTCAAAGGCCTCATATCTGAATAAAATGATTGCACAGTCCCACACAGATTTCCTGCATTGTCAAGGATTTCACCATCTCAGGATGCTTATGGCACACTGATATTGGCACTTGTTAAAACTTCCATGAAAACACTATGCCTTATATTTCTTAAATATATATATATGTATATATATATTTGCATAAATTTTAAGGAAAAGGGGACTAGACTTGTATATTTATCATCTAATAAAATAGGAAATCTACATTTAAGCTTTACCAAGTTTTGCCTCTAAATTCATTTTATCATTTGAAGTTTCTGGATGACACAGTTAAATTCATATATGTAAGTAACTCTGTATTCACTACTATTGACATTTATTCTGATAGTTCTCCAACAGCAAATAATATAAATGGCTTTAACACACGGAAACATAAACATATTATGACAAATTTCAGGAACCTAACCAGCATTTGTTGTGCAGGAAAAAGCATACTTATTAATAGAATAGTTTCATCCATGATAACAAGCAATGAAATCTAAGTTACCTCATAAAACTTTCTATTGCAGAATCAGGACTGGAATAGCACAAGAACATCAGTTCAGATAACATGAATGATTCAGAAATGTTTTATAACTCTTATTCCTCAGAACAAAAAGCACATTTATTTGTGCTCTGTTAAATATAGTTTTGTCTTACTTTCTTAAATCCAACTAGGTAAAAATAATTCTTTTATCTAATGGCATATCGAGAATGTACCAATGCAAATAAAGTTTTTGGAGGATTTTTTTTCTATAAAGGAAGAAAAATCCCAATAGGCTACCTCCAAAAATAGATATTTTGTATTAACACATACCATTATTATTTGCACAGAACAATTTACAATATCAACAACTGTGTTAAAAAATAACAACAATTTAGTTCCACTGGACTTGTGCTTTCAGCTGCTCTCTCAGCAAGTACAGACATAGAGCAAATGTGAGAACAAAGTCAGGATTTGTTTCATCCACAGCTCCTGTGTAAGGACTAGCATGGCATGTCCTTTGCTTCTGCAAAGCCCCATTAAAGCACCTGGAATTTCACGACTGCATATACAAATGCATATCAAACTTACCATAAATATCTTACTTATGGCTTGTCTGGTTTTACTCAGTCACTGACTTATAGTGACTTTAACTATACACACATATAAATAAGCTTTCCACAGTTGAAAAAACCAGGAGTACCCGATTACTCTCCTTTAATTTCATTTTATATCTTATTAGTTATGTGGATAGTTCCCATGCTGCAGCTCCTTCCATCTCCTTTAGCAACATTTGTGCAGGCACATTCTATTGTTTTTAAATAATTTCTCTAACAAGGAGCAGGGAGGAGAAATATTCATACAAATAAAAGGGGACATTGTCAATACACAAACTGCTGACACATCCATTAGGTAAATAAGCTAGAAAATTTATTTCCTTTAGTTCTCTCCAAAGGCCTTTGCTAGCCTTCTTTAGTCAGAAGTTTATTATATTGACAGTATCCTTTCAAAGGAAAATTCCAGTGCAATATAGAAATTATTTTAACCAGTTCATCAAAATCACTAGGGGCCAGACAGGTGCAAATGCATAGACAGGTGTGCACACATCCATTCTATATGATGGCCTTGGGAGGGAATGCAGTCTTTCTTGCACATCAAAGAGCAGCAGCAGTTTGCACCTTGGGAGCCTGGCTGGCCTGCTCTGTGGCATCAACAGCCATAGGAAAAAGTAAGTCTGTGCTTCCCACACACTGAGATGTGTAAAGAATTTTAAAAGAGCTGTGTTTCACTGTAGGCTTGTAAAGACATCGTACAAAAACTTTACGTGGGCGCTGCTGACTTGCTCCTACAGCAATGGCTTTTTTTTGCAGCTGAGGATTTAAGACTACTGAGAAAGAAGTAATTTTAAGATTAAAAAGAGTGCTGTATTACTCTGAAAAAAAAAAAAACAACAAAAAAAAAAACAGGAGAGAGACAGAAGCAGCCTAACTAGTTTGGGAGTTTTTTGTTGGTTTTTCTTTTTCTGGAGGGTTTGGTTGTTTTGTACTTTTGGGTATTGTTGTTGGTTGTTGTTGTTGGTTGGTTGTGAAATTCCAGCTATTATAAGGTGCTTTTCACTGTCAACCAATATAGCTCTCGTGGCATCTAAAGTTTTTACATGTAATAACAGAGATTAATACTAATGATTAGTACCAGCAACTCTCCATGACAAAGTCCAAGACAGTTCTTAGTCTAGGGAAACTGTTTTTGTAAATACATTCTTGCAAAATTACTTCATACTGTAGAATCCTTCATGGGACTTGAGCCTACTACTTGCTGAGAAAAAGTGCTAAAACGTCTGGGTGCCTTTGAGAGGTGACATGACTTATATTGAAAGAGGAACAGTTTCTATTTTTATCAGCATTAAAATAACTGTTCACCCAGCACTGCCACAACAATTTCGTTCTTTACATAAATTAGCATTTAGACATCATACCCACATTAATGGATTTGTGGATGTAGGTAGGCTTTGCTCACAAAAAAGTGCTGACATGCTTAAGGCTTAGTGAAGTGCAGAAATACTGTTCTGACAAGGTTTTTTTCCAAAGCTCATACCTCTGTTTTCTTAAACCTCCCCTTCCATCTGAAAAGAAAGCTGGGATTTTGTGCATTAAGTCTTCTGAGGAAAAGCCACGTGTAACACCAATATCAGAAATATCAGTTCTGGCATATGATAAAGGAAAAGAAAGTATTACTAAATGAGTAGTAAGGAGAAAAACTTGATGACTGCTGTATGTAAGTACCAATTTATGTAGTCAGGGATAAAATTCTGGCCCTTCTGAAATCAAAAGCACAGTACTTGCTAAATCACATATGACTGTCACTGTCAATACTGTGACCAACAGATTAATTCCCAGATACTTTTGCAGAAAACAACATAGCTCCTCTTGAGAGTATTATGCTATACACACTTCTATACAGCATCTTTTAAAGAAAAGGTATTCACATAAGTAGAAATCTTGAACATTATTTAGAGGGACTAAAAACCTTCGAAGTACCTTTACTGCTTGAGTTCTCTAGGACTACTGATTAGTAGTCATGATTAATAAAGGTAAGCAATTATTTCTTTTTACATAAATATACGGTCCTCTACTTTTTACAAAGTATCTGATCCATACAATTACCATTCATTTTGCAAATACTTTCCAGGCTTGAATGAAATTTATCTCCAATGAGAGTTACTTCAGTAGAAAGAAGAAAATTTAGATTGTGACCAAAACATGTAACAGAGATAAGAAGAAAGTATGAAAGGCACTTGTGTCCACAA